AGATTTAAAAGAATGATGAATGAAGTAAAACAAAAAATAGTCTTTTTGGTTCATTAAGAAATTTGCACCGTTAAATTGCGAAATAAATTCATTAAATTTTAACTTTCATTCTATGGCATCATCTTCATTGAAATTTACAATTTTACAACAACAATTTCTGCTGTGTTTTCATCATTCCTTAATCGAATACTGCACAACCGATCGTTCATTGCTATATACCTTCTACGACATTTTCAAATGCAACCATCACCTGTACTGATTAGAAACATTTACATTGTTAGAAATGATTTCATATTTATTTAATGATGATATATACGTGTAATATCTGTTGTTGAAAATTCTTAATAAACATAAATCAATAATTGATTGATCATAATTTAATATCATTTATATTCAATTTAACAATAAGTTATTGTTATATTTAATATCATTTATATTCAATTTAACAATAAGTTATGGCTGTAATTATACTTTTTATATTTAATTATTATATTTATTACAAACTTTTCGTTAATTCAATTACGTCTTATTATTAATTATAATATCATTAATTCTTATATATCTTTTTGTAATTAAAAATAATTTAATTTTAGTAAAATAATCTGAATTGTAATAAAAATTTTGTTTGATATTTTTTTTGCTTAATTTTTCTAATTTCTAATTAATTTCTTCATTTCATATTGCAAATAAATTTCAATAAAATCTTTATAAAGTATTATTTTTTATTTATTCATTGAATTATTTATTCACTAATAATTAAACATAAGAAAAAGAAAAGGAACGAATAGAATTATTAGCATACAATGATAATTATTAGTTAATTAATTTTATGCAAATAAAATTCGTTTCAGTTATAATAAAAAAATAATTATAATTATATGAATAATTAATTTCAATAATTATTGTCATTATTATATTTATTTTATATGAATATTTGCTTTAAGAAAATATAAATTATAATAGCGTTAAGTTATAAAATTCATTATAAAATGCAACAATTCTTCAATTTCATTTCCGTCGACGAACTCTTTTATTATGCAAATTTGATATGTATTTGAAATGAATGAACCCATTCCCTCTAATATACGCATCATTTCATTTCACTAATCATTCACTCTCATCTAACAAATGGATCATATCAATTGGACCATCGAAAACTTCCTCCTATTCTTTAACAACTTCTGATTCCCACACATACCCAAAATTCTATGACAAAATTGACGTTTTGTTTATTTATTCCTTTCTTTCTATAAAGGTATTACACGTTTTTATATATGTATATATATATATGTGTGTGTGTGTTTATATGTTGTACATAGAGATATGGGTGCACATTTGTTGTAATATACTTGTTTGTATATGAAAAAATAAATAACCAATTTGCAATTGGATAGAAATATACAATAAAATATGGGATAATTCAGTTTACAAAGTTTACCCTATTCATATAAATAAATGTTTATTGGGAAGAAGATTGTTGTTGTTGTTGTTGTTGTTGCTTTGCTATTATTGTTATTAAAGTTTGGATTAACATTGAAAGGATAAAGTAAAAGTAGAGGTAATATATGGTAAGAAAAGGAAGCGCTTTAGTCAGATGGGTAAACAATGAATTATAATGTTGACTCTGAAAATCCACTACTGTCTTGTAAACCTTTTCTATTTGAAGTATGGTTGTTGAAGTATCTTCAATTTCTTTATTGTCTTCCTTAAATATCTTCTCGTTGTGCATAAAACTAACTCTTATCAAGCTGCTTCAAAATTTCATGCTTCAAATTGAAAATAATGGATAAATTGAAATTGTTGCAAATATTTCGAAGCACTTTTAAATTGTAAATTTAAATTCAAGTTGAATATAAATTGAAACGAATTTGAATTTCATGAATTTTTTCAAATCAATTTAAAATAACGATTCTTTTTCTATCTTAACATCTATTTCAATATTATTCTTATCGTTTGCTTTCTGTATTACAATTATTACTTGCTTTGATTACCTGTAATAACCTCTTAGGACAAAAATAACCCTCATCGTTTGCTTTCTGTATTATAATTATTACTTACTTAGATTACCTAAAATAACTTCTTAGGACAAAAATAATTTCTTGTCGTTTGCTTTCTGTATTACAATTATTACTAACTTAGATTACCTGTAATAACTTCTTAAAACAAAAATGTTATCCAAATTATTAGTATGAGTTTTTTGTAAAATAATTGTATATCTTTTTAAAAATTAAAATATCACTTTATTTTTAAATTATTAAATTTTACAACAAAATATTTCTTTCATCAAATATCATAGATTTTTTATGTAAAGTTTTGTTTAATGTTATTTATTATTAATATTATTTTTTCTTCTCAGATATTTTTAGCAAACTATTCTTTTAAATATAATAGTTATGTATTATCGTATAGTATTGTGAAATATTTATTGACAAGCATTTCAATTAGAATATTACATGCAAATTATTTTTTAAAATGAATGAATCATTTAAGTATGCTACTTTTATTGAAATCATCCATACAAATATTTTCCATTTATATATTTCGTTCTTCGATACATTATTGTAAACATACCGACCGCATCATCACTCCATCATCTTTTTTATCCATTTCCCGTCCAAATCATTTTTGTTGACAACTATTGCTATTTATATATTCATATATTTGCTATTGCACCTATAAATCTGTATAAGTGCATATTTGATAATTTGATGCAATCAATTCGATGTGTACAAAAATTCGCTATACTGATTTATTGTTATGTGTTTATAGATATAATATCCTCTTTATATTTGGGTATTGCAATAGCAACAAAGAATTATATATTTATTTTAATCAATAAAATTAAAATATATGCATGCATAATTATTGTATGTCTTGTAATTAGCTCTAACAATGGAAATATTTGCATAATTAAAAAATTGCTTCTTATTTTGATTTCCATATTAATTGTGTTTCTCTAATATGCGATTGATATTTAAATATATTTTTAGCATAATTATTATTCATTATGAGTTAATCATTTCAGTATGATAATTCCAACAAATCAATAAAATCAATCAATCAATCAATCAAATATTTTCTTTCCCTATTTAAATTAAGTCATTAATCATTTCATTTCATTCTTCTTCTGTATCATAACTATTTGCTTATTAAAATTATCATCTTATTTCTAAAAAAATTTCAATTTCAATTTTCATGGTCCATCAAACATTTCATTCTTTTTATTCGTATGAAAAAAACTTTTAAACTTCGTTGTTATCTTTCTATTTGCTGTAAATAAATGATCCCAAAATCATTAGATTAGCCGAAGAAATGTGTCAGAAAATGTTTCTTTGAAGTATTGAAATTATAATAATTTATTTAGTTAAAAAGAATTAAAACAAATGCTGTCGTAAATGAAGGTCAATCAACCGCAATCATATCATCCTAATCGTTGACAATTTAATTATTTCGATTTTATTTTTTCATTTATTTGATATCAAATTTATTTTTAAAAAAAGAAACGAGTGTAAAGTACAACAATATAAATTATATTTATGAAGTAATTCCTTTTTTAAAAAGTTGCTTTACTTCACATTTTATACTAATATATTGTTTTGAAATATTACATGAAAGGTTTAATTATTATATCACTATTGTTATTATTATTAATTATTATTATTTACTGTTATTATTTATTAATAATCGATTATTAGCATTATTAATTATTAATCATTATTATTAATTGTTATCATTATTTATTATTTCTATTATCCGTAGTTTCCACTTTATCGTTCAGTTCATTTTATACGTAATTAGCGTGTTATGTGAATCATATTTAGGAATATATCATCGATAATTTACATCGTAGATATGAGTATCGGTAAATATGCCAACATGACCAGAGGATGGTTTTGGTGACAGCATTCGATCTGATTGTTGCATTATATAATCAATAATGACCTTGATAATGAGAAAATGATAATGGCCGATCATTCACTGCCAAATTTGTCAACTAAATACTTCTTGCCATATCCCTCACTTATTGACTTTCCATTTCGTATATTATAAGAAATTTTTAGTATTATTATCCATTATGTATTAGAATAATATTTATTCTAGTACTTGAATTATTAATGTTATATTTTTGTCATTTAACATCATTTATTAAATTTAATTTATTATTATTATTGCTAAATGTTTATTACTATTATTATCATAGTTGTTACTATTATTATTAATATTATTATTACTGTCATTCTTATTATTATCTTTATTATCGTCGTTACTATTGCTATCAATTATCATTATTTGGAAGAAATGATTAAAAAGTTAATTATTTGCAATTGTTCGATATTGATATAGTGAATTTATTTCAGACGATCAATACAATGTACAATATAGTATTCGACGGTTTGCAAGTTGAAAAAAAATAATGCTAACATTAATCGTCAAATCATTTAAATTATTTATGAAATACTTTAAAGGAATTAATGAATGGTTGTTTTATGATTTAAATTCGGTTCATGCAGTAGTTATTTGCTATTCTTCTTGCAAAACTATTACGCCACCTTATCATAGCAACCATCATTATCAGTGATGATAGCTTTCTTCCTCACATTATTTCTTTGCTTATATGTTTGTCAATTAGCATTTACATCACTTAATAAATATTCACTTACTGGTCAGTTACATTTTTCATCTTATTACCATTTTCAGTCATATACTGCTTGGGAAGATATTACAATACAATCTGAGACCTAAATAATTATCAACTTATCAACATTCTTGTCTTATGCATAATATTATTACTGTATGAATGCTAAGCAACAATTGATCGATGATGAATTGGATTCTTATTTTGATGAGTAAATTTTTTCCTGACAGCGATCTTTTATTTTAGCATAAGTAGATATATTACTTCTTAATTGATTAATTAGTTAATTAGACATTTTTTAAATTATTGTCATTAACCATAATCTTATTTTTTTAGCTGCGTGAAGCGACGTAATGCACCATCGATGGGTTTAAATGGAATGCGTTCAACAGCTAACACATACAATTCAACTTTAACTGTAACAAATAAAAGTTGGAATGGGAATGAAATGGATAGTAACGATAATAATAATATAATTATGAGACCTAAAAAGGTTAGAAAATAGTTAATAAAAATTTTGCTTAATTAATTTATTAGATTTTACGAATTGTACAGAGCTTTTATTTTTACAAATGACAGCTAAATTATATTTATTATACACAATGTAGACGATTTTTTACTAAAAGGATTAGATAATTTCTATTTGCTAACTAAATATTCAAAATTTATTACTTAAAAATCAATAATGAATTAATTAATTAAAAAATGAATTAATTAATTAAAAACGATGACATTTGTAAAGTTTAATCGTAAATTCTTTTTTTTTTTGATTTTATAAAATCTATTAATTAAATTTTTACATTAAATTTGTATAATTATATCTTATTTATAATTTTTATTCACATTGTTAATTTTCATTAATTAATTCATTGCCGTTCATCTATAATATTTATATGAATTTCATTGAAAGAATATTTCAGCGAAGAAATTAATTGTTTTTCTTCAGATAAAGAATGTTCAAGAAAAGCAACAACAAAGGCTGATACGATATCGACCGCTAAGTACAGCTAATTCATATGCTTCTTCACTTGGTATCTCGTTATCCTTCTTTTTTAAATCACTTTAAAATTAAATGAAAATAGTGACAGAATATTAATTATTAATTATTTAGAATATTAATTATTTTTGCTAATAATATATTGCTATAATAAATAATTTCATTCCTGAAACAAAAACGGAAAAAATGCGTAAATGACGAATTTCTTTTTGAAAAAAGTGAAATAAATGAAATTAAAATTTAAAAAAACTTATTTCTTTCAATTAATATTACAATTATAATTACTAATTAAATTATTCACTAATTAAATTAATAATGGGATAATAAGTATTATGAATTCGATGAAAAACAAAAATTACCTTTAAGTTTGATTTTAAACGAAATCGATTTTTTTGTATAATTAATGATTTCAAAAGAAAATAATTTTTATTCCTTTTCTATATGTGACAATAAATCGTTATAAATGAAAATTGTTAGAAGGATTCTGATTCTACAATCAGTCAGTTTCATTGTTTTTCTTATACCTTACTATTTAATTAATCTAAATTTGATTATAGCACTTACTTTTCGCAATCGAAAATTTCAAAACTATAACCTAAATTTAGCCTCATCCGGTATGACCGACATCAAATGGCGTAACTCACGTGCTTCACCATGTTCATCACTGTCAACTAGCTGTCAACATATCCATGAATCGCCTAATATGGTACTCCTATTCTTTAGGAATATTTGAAAGGAAAAATTTTCCCACAATTTGAAATTGTGACTTAAGCTCAAATATCGTTGACAATTTATATACGATCCTACTAAAAGTATAATTATTCCATACAAGACGATTTTGGTCGATGGAAGCAATTATTATTTTAAATTGGATGCCATTAGTTTTTTAAAATTTACTGTTTAATTATTGTAAAAATTCAAAAAATGTTCCATAATCATTATTTGCAATGATATCTTATCATTTGTACGTTAAAATGAATTACCAAAAGTTAATAATATGTATAATTAGGGTTAATAATATGTATAATTAAGTTAATAATATGTATAATGTAACATAGGATAAGCTGAAAAATTAAATTGATAGCTTAATACTTTTTCGAAATATTTGCGATTTTTTGATATTTATTGATTTATTCAATTATATATTACTTCTTTCTATTTTTCTTCTTCTTATTATTATTACTATTATTGTTATAATTATATTTTATTATTATTACTATTAATTTTTGTGATTTGTGTATGTTAATATATGTGTAAATGTAAATATAAGTTTTAGTGGAGATATGAAGGATATTTGGAAGAGGAAAGAGCAATAATTAATCGTGGCGTCGAATGTGCGAAACGACTAAGTGCTTGGTATTGTGAACGGTTGAAAAGTATAGAAAAACGAAGCAGCCTACTAGATCGAGGACTGGTACCTGTTGTTAGTGATTTATTATTATTATTATTATTGTTGTTTTGTTTATTTATGATTTCATTCTTAGATTTCTTCCATTTCAAAGAAAAACCTTACTTGGAAATATTATTATTAAAAATTAGTAGTAACTCTTTAAAGGAAAACAAACTGATTTATTTACAGCTAAAATGAAAAAAAGAACTCTCTACTACTTTCTTTTATTTTATTTACATCTTTTAAACAAATATAATTTTTCGTGTTCTCAATTAGTATATTAAAAAATTCTTAACTTTGATTATACAAAATATGTAAACAAAATTTATTATGCAAATTTTTACATACATTTTTTGACAATGAGATAAGACTAACTTCAGATACTACTAATTCTGATAAGATCATTTTCTTTTATTTGATCTCAGGACACTAAATCTTCGAAATATCAAATATCATATCTTGTTCACTCTACTTGCTTACTCATTATTTTATTTTCCCATTCATTCTGTACTAGTTTGTTAAGTTTATCAATTACAGGATGGAGCTGTACATGAAGAAAAACTAAATTATCTCCGTGCGCATATTGCCGAACTCAATAGACGAATAACATCATTGATGGAAAGCAGTGATCACTCTTTCCCAACACATTCTAATTTGCAGGTTCTGATACACTCAAGATAATAATGAAGTCTAAAAGCGATTTTAACTATGCCCAATTTATATTAATTATGATCAGTAATGAAATGTAATGTCAACGGTCAGTGTGTGTAAAAAAATTATATAAGAAATGATTATATACATGAAATTAATCTTGAAAAGTTAATGAAAATTTGCTATGGAAGCCTACTTCAGGGAGTAAATATATTGTAATTAAAACCAAAAAAATAACGATTCTTAGAAGAAGGATGAAAATTCATTCATGATTTTCTCGTCATGCTAGCAAAGCTTAAGTAAGATATCAGACGAATACTTACTTTTCAAAATCTTGATTAGGTTATAAATGAACATTTATTCTCATTCGAACTAATTGTTTTATGCTTTCAATTAGCTGAAAAATTTTAATAAAAATAATTAAGTCTAAAATTATGTATTAAACAATGATAACAGTATTTTCTGATACCATATATTATATGGTATTTGAGGAAAAGCACAATTAATTGGTTTAATTAAGGTTTTATGATGTATTAACTTCAAACAACAATCATAAAAACTTAATTTTTAGGTGAAAACACAAATGCCACAACCGAGTGATGATCATAGCCAATACTATCGACGACAAAATATCAAATTATGTCAGGTACTTCTCTGTCTGGTACTTCTCTAAATTAGCATCTTCTCTTTTTTTCTTTTCCATCTTCTCTTTTTTCCCCTTTCAATATTTATCAATGAATAAAAAGGTTAATTAATTAACTACTGCAGGAATTGGCTGATAAAAATCTTTTAATTGAACGACTTCTCCACGAGAAGGCTGAGAAGAACAAAGAACGTAGTAGCGCATTCCGAAAAGTTGAACCAAAAAGGTTACAAAATAATTGTGGGAATTTTTTAAACACACAACAACTACACTACCCGTTTCTAAGGATAATTATTTTTAATGATGAAAATTTTAACGAATGGAAATAAAATATTCAGTTAGGCTTAATCTGGATGATCATGAAGTTGTTATTTTTATTTTTATCTACTTTCTAATTCTAAAAGATTTGATAACATTTTGAGGATGAATATATTTCACATTTTTTCGTCTGTTGATAATTTCTAGCTAATAGGATAAAACTTGAAATGAATGTGTATAAATTTCAGGTTGGCATCAACAACAACAACAACAAATACTGAAAGGAAGAATCATTACGCTCAATCACGCACATGGATACCATCGGAAGGGACGTTAATGTGAATGTTGTTCTGAATTAAATGTTTAACAATGTTGAATAAAATGAAATAATTTGAAAGTTTACAATTTCCTTTTACATTTTACAAAAGAGTTTGGATGAATTTATTTTTATAACGGTAAATTTTTCTAGACATTAGCAAACAATATGGAAATATGTCAATCCATTTATTTAAAGATAAAAGTGTGGATATATCGTTAAATCTTTCATTAAATTAGTCATCAGATTCACTTTTAGATGAATCTGATGACTGATTTAATGATATATTCATTTCATCAGTTTAACTCATTCTTTCATCAATTTCAAACCTAGCTTCTACCAGTCGTTTTCTTTCCCTACTTTTGTTTCGTACTAATATAAATTTGTTGCACGCTATTTGCAACACGAACGATCACAAAATGATGAATAAAGCAACAAGCGAAATGAATACAAACCAGCCTTAATTTCATGATATTTCTAATTTCATTCAACCGAAAAAATACTGTTTTTCTCCTTTTTATCTCTGTTTTTCTCCAAAATTTTCTGATTTCATTTTAGCCTTTTGAATGCTGAATACTGAGAGTTAAATTTTGAAGATGAAAATTGCTATTTGACACTGATATTGAATACACTTCTACTAATAGCTATCCTGAACATTACAGTAAAGTGTGAATTAGTGGATGCTATCTCTAAAATATACAAGCTATTGCCTAAAAAAGAAGTATATAACATCAAAAATGAAAACTAGCAAGTATTAATGATGAATAAAGCAACAGGCGAAATGAATACAAACCAGCCTTAATTTCATGATATTTCTAATTTCATTAACAGTGTAGCCAGTACTTTAACTCTAGGCTTAACTGTCATGAAAATGTCCAATGATCCAAACCGCATAATAACGAATGTTTGAAAACTACACATTTTGAATGAACAGCGTACGTCTGAGAATGAAAGCATCCAATTATTTTGCAAAAATAACCGATAATTATTTTCATAAGAGGTTTCCTGTCAATAACGACACGAATTATCACAGACAAGTTACTAATTTCGCAAAATATGAAAGAATAAACTCTCAGTGTTATCCCCTCATATTTTGAGTTTAAGACATATTGTATTACTATCACGGTATTTCATTCTTGTAACTCGCAAATGAAAATCGATAGTGAGAAGATCAATAAAAAAATTTGAGTAAACACTATTTTGTGTCTGTCGGCAGTTTATTAAGTTTCTGGTTTGCAGGCGTTTCCCTGCTGATAATCTTTGCCGGATTTACCGAAAGCTTTTGCTTGATAACTTTTGCGGGATCTGTCACAACTTCACCGTCAGAAGAAGCGACTGATAAAGAAGATGAGGAAGGAGGAGGGTAGGGTACAGTTCCCGCAAGGAATGCCTTCATTGCCTCAATATGTTCCTCCTTTTTCAGCATTTCCACAATTGTCTTGATTTGTTCCGTAGTTAAATGAAGCTCTTTATGGCTTTCGAACAAAGTTAATGCCTGCAATATATTCTCGCTGCTAACACTGACATACTTCTTTAATATTTTTAGCTAATTATATAGAAATCAAATGAAGTATTTAGGCAGATCATGTCTGTCACTAAAACTTATAAATTATCCTGATAATAGCAAGTAAGATGAAGACAAATTTGAAAACATACGTGTAAGACGAGATTAACATCTATTACACCATCGCTATCTTCATCAAGAGCTTGTAATATCTGGAAAATGATTGCACTGATAAAAAAGTCTAATTGTGATCTCTAGCACATATTCCAGTAACAAACAAGCCAAAGACTTTTGCCTGCTTTGATTTTAAGACCACAAAAACATACTTTTCGAAATTCCTCTTTGTCTTCCTCGCTCATTTTTTGCAAAGTTTGCATCTTATCTATGAGATCCTCTACTCTCATCAATCGCTCCCTGTAAGCAATTAGTGAATTTCATATGATCCATATATACATATATATGAATGGATTGAAGTGTTTGTAAGACGCAATCACAAAATTCACTGATTTTAAATAATCTTTGTTAAATATATGTCTTAATTATAAATGCACAGAAAACTTACTTTTTCACCTTTTTGTCTTCATCAGCAGCACTTTCGGATATTTCACCGATAGCTTTTTTATCTTCATCAAGCTTTTCTAACAATTTATCCGCCTTTTTCAGCATTTTGTTGACACGTGCTCGAAGTAGTTTAGCTCCCCTAGGCTCTTTTAAATCTTTCACTAATAAGTCCAGTTCTTCCAGATCCTAAAATGAAATCTTCTCAACCGCTCTTAAATATGTATTGTGCTATGTTTTACAAATTTTTCAATTAAATAAAACTGAAAAAGATAGAAAATGTTAACCTCATTGTGTTCGTTAATTTGTTCTTTCAATTCTCTGATGTCATACTTCGCCTCTGATATTGCATTACCATGGATAACATTTTCTATTGACTGTACATGTCCCTAAAAAACAGAAAAAAATTAAAAATAAAAATACATACAGTATGGATATATTAAAAAAACAGAAATTATTGCGAAATACCGACACATATCGAGAAAAGTAAAGATAAAATATTTGCACACTTAAAATTATACGGTATTTAAATTCTAATTAAAAAGTTGCCCTTTTTATTTCAAAACTTCGTTTTCAATACGATTAATCAATCTTTACTTCGTCAATTTGCAATTTATTGGCTGCATCCACGACGATCTTCTTCTCTTGGAGTGTTGCTGGCTGTGCGATTTCCAAAACTGGAGCTTTATCTAGGCTGGGTGATTCCATAAGTTCAGCCACAGTTTCAACTTCAGCCGCTTTTGCTGCTTCGGCTGCTACTTTTTCCTCTTCAGCTTTCTAAACATTACGAAAGCATTACCAGAAATATTCCGTAAGCGATATCTAATACGAAACACTCTTCCGAGAAACCACACTGCATATCAGGCATGACTGGCCATACAGAGCTTAAAGTCCTTGTTGTCAAATCATTTGAAATTAGGAGGAAAGATGAAATAACTTCAGGATAAAATATGCTTAAGGAATGATTATCCATCTCTTCCACGACTTCAATTTTTCATAATAGCTCATAATGTGAATCTAAAAGGTGTACAATGCAAAAAAATAAAAAAAGGGAGAAAATGAACTTCTAACCTTGGCCACCTCCTTCTTCTCGGCTTCTTTCATCGCCTCTCTTTCAGAATCGATAGCTTTCTCAATATTTTGTATAAGGTTAAGCCTCGCTTCATAACTTACTTTATCACCTTCAATTTCTGCCAAATTTTGGCGAGTTACTTCAGCGATATCTGAAAATTTTACTACATTTGAAACAAAAACATTCAAAAATAGCATTTCACATCTCAAATTTCATTGACAATACCAAATCCTCGACAGAAAATAAGACTTACTATCTGGTAAGTTTGTCATTAGTGCTTTCAAACGATCCGTGAATGCAATATCTTCTGGCAGATAGATAGTGCGTGATAAGAGCAACAGTGATGGCGGCACTTTATCATTAAGAGATAGTTCCAGCCATTGTTTTAACTGAAATGAATCATAATATCACCATTGAATTGCAAGAATTGTAATAAATGAAGATGTGATGCTCTCCTGGAGCTTCAAAACATGATCAAAGATATAGTTTTACTTGTTCCTTAAGACGCTCTTCGCTCATTCCCAGTGAACGCATTCCACGTGCTCTGCATGCCTGTTGCAGCTCAGGCACTGTTAAGGTATCCGCTCCACCTTCCAAAGCTATTTCCTGAGACAAAAGCAAAAGAATTGCAAATTCCTCATGAAAAATTCTCTTTTCTAACCAAAAATGTAAACTTGCAAGAAAATGTCCGTAAAATTGAAATTTTTAAATTCATTTTATTTTTTAAGAAAATCTTACGCAACATATCTTCTAAAATTTCGAAAGAACTCACATATTTGAAAGCATAATGAATACACTAATAATAGAAGGAAGCACTGAGGTAATTTCGTGGGTCTTATTTGAGAAAGCCGTGTAAATTAATAATCACGATGCATTGCTACATCAAAAGACAAACATCAACAAACAGCGAATTATTCCGCTGTTACCATAAATAGAAGTGATACTACAAATTCTTACAAATTATTTCAGAATACCTGATCATCTGCTTTCAAAGCCCGCAATTTCAACGATAACTGGAATCGGATAATTTCAAGCGAACCGAATGGCTGAATATTCAAAAGACGACATAATGCTCGCAGTGTGTTAGCTGGCAAATTGTCCAGCGTAAGCTCATCTTCGAATAGCTTAACATACTTGAGAAGATCCTTATTGGTAACGTAACTCCCTTCTGAACGCACCTGGAAACTGCAATAAGTTTATACATAATGTATGTTTCACGTAGATCAACTGTGAGTTCACCACAATATAATACATACAATCAACGGAGATTCTCAAGTAACATTTCTTGGAAAATTTCATCTAAAATAATACGAAGCTAAAGAATTCCTTTCGCTCTGACTTGGATATATATAAAATTTTAACAGATGCAAACCTTCTTTATGAATTCTGCAAATTCAACGGCAGTGCTGGCTGTCTTATCATCATCCGCAGCATTTTTCTTCTTGTACAAAGCCATTTCTTCCATGGCAGCTTGGAGCAGCTTCGCTGTTTCTAGTTTTGCCTTCAATTTTCTTCGCAATTTCTCTTCCTGCAATACATCAAAGTGAATAATTTTTTCCTAAAAACTGGGTAAAACAACGATGTCGTTGCTGATAAGCTCCTATGACAATTTAATATAATATGGTTTAAAGAAACACCTTACCAAAAATCACTTTGTGCTAAATCAGATATAATTGTTTTGGTCCCTTCATCTACCATATTAAATCTTTAAATTAGTAAAAAACGAAGGAAAGAATATTGAATGCTCGCTACCTCCACTATTGTGTAAATGAAATAACTTCTTCGAAACTCATTCAAATATCGGTCAGTAATATTTCGGCATTCACTTGTTCTAAAAAGACTGGTAACAACCTAACAAAATTAGTTCTATTTCTTGAATTAGACTCGCTTCATTTTCAGAAACATGAAAGTAAAAAAAAGCTAATTACCTCTTTCGTAGCATCCGTGAATGTGCTTGGCAACATATTCGGGAATAATTTTAGGAACAGAGGTAATGTAAATTCTAGAAAAGGTACAATGACGAAAGCAGAAAACGGAATCAGTCGTAGCACATCAGAGAGAGTTCTCACCAATTGTTGCTTCTCGCGACGTAACAGCGGTTTTCTGCGTAAGAATCTCCATAAATATTTGGCACTTAATCGCATTTCTAAGAATAACAATCGAAATCCATGATAGTAATGTTTGCAGCCTTCCTTGAAAGCTCTTGGCCATCGTATGTAGATGGGTTCTAGGGCCACTTGAAATTTCGCTTTCTCTATCATCTAAATTTTTTGAAAGAAGGAAATTGCCAGACAACACTGAGATTCCGAAAGCTTTTTGAACTTAAGTTAAAATCATCAGTAACTGTTCCTGTTCTAAATCAAATGATGTCATTTGATGCCACTTTTAGGAAACCTCATATCGATCACATACTCCCTGGGCAAACCTAATGTTATTTAACAGCTTCTGCATAATATCTTGTGGAAAATTTCAAAATCATCTCCGAAAAATATTCTAATTATCTTACAAAGTCTTCTCATTTAAATCTGAAATTTCTCTAGGTTTATGTCTTATCATACTAGGAACCTCGTTACTAATATAGTTCATTCAAAGATCTTCATTTCTGCTAAACTTCTAAAAAAGCAATTTCCGTAAACACCGTCAAATTTTATGGACAGCTACATCGACTATCGTTTAATGCGGCATTGTGTGTTTTCAAAGTAATCAGTCTCACTTTCAGTAGCTTGATGTACGTTCCAACATATGTTCTAAAATACATTTTTTTTCTAGAATTGATGAAGCACTCCGTGTAACTGCCTGCTAAAAAAATGAAATTCGTAAAAGTCAAGTCATTGTTTAAATTCAATTATTACGTAATCGTTTCCTATAAACAAAAATTTCACCGAAATCTAATGCTATAATCGAAAATGAGCCATTTCTGTGGATATTAACCTGTCTACGTGCTTGGCCTTCTTTTTCCTCCAATGTCGCTTGTTCCTTCAACCTTTTCAGTGTTTCTTCTAGTTTACTCTTGTCATATAAAAACTGTACACAAGATCCATGAAGATTCCGTCTCTCAATTTCGTTAATTCTAAACCTCACCAAACAACTCCTCGGCCTGGAAAACAGTAATTAAACTTAAAATTCTTTGGAGTCTAGAAAAATCTAAATATAGATAAATAGTTTTTTCTGTAAAGAAAGATAAAGTAGATAGCTTACCTGAGGGAGGATACTGGCTTTCTGGATACATAAAATGACAAACTATACGCTCGTCGGAACATCATCTGTATTTGCAAGAAATTTCTTAATATCTGAAATAAACTATTAGTAATATTTGGATGATCGACAAATTAATAAGATAACCCCTCTGACAGAATAGAATATCAAACACGGTCATCCTTTTGTACTGTGAGTGCAAAAGTTTATTCAGGATGCCAAACATCACTTACTTATTTAAACACTACACTTATGATAAAAATAATGATAGTTTAAGACATTTGGCACTATTAACAGTATTTAAACCGATTGGCACTACCAATAGCATTCAAATCGTTTAGGATTATCAACAACATTCAAATCGTTTAGCACTATCAACAGTATTCAAATCGTTTGGCACTATCAAAAGCATTCAGATCAAGTTTCCATAATGCCCAAAACTGTATTTTCATTTTAATATTGTAGTAAGTACAAATCTAAAATCATTAATTCACTAACTTTTCGTTTTAAGATTAATTTCAGGATTGAAAGTTCCAAATCCAATAAAGACATTTACCATAGCAAATCATTTCTTCTAATTAATCATCAAAGGAATACCGTTGTATATCAATTAGCATCATCACATAACAGCTAGATTATAATATCGTATACAAACTCCCTCCTGAGATTTTTTCCTCTTATGTGACTGTTTATAATTGAAATAACTAATAAGTGTTACTACCCATAACGTACGACGTTATCTGCATGGATATAATAGCATATTAATCTCTTAAAATTTTGTTCCGGAAAAAACGGATCACATTTACTCATAATGACAGTGGCGTGCAACGTAACAAAGTAACTCCATGCTTTATGTATAACCGTCATAAATAAACCAAATCTTGACTACCATTTCCGATATGTTCTGCATTACTTTTCTCTTCTTACAAACTGATTCCATGTTTTTTTGTTTCTCTTCATCATGTTCCGATTCATGGAAACAGTCTATCATTGATTTTGAAGAGGTTATTTTAAGAAATTTTCTCAGAGAGAACTACTTCCTCATTTAAAGTTCGTGGTTACTATTTGCATCTTTTAATATCGCATTGTTATATTGGTGTCATTCTACCTGATTACGGTTATTTTTGAAAGGATAAACTTAGATGACTAATTTTTATGCCCATTACACCTGTGGAAATAGTCTTACAAATAGTATAGTATGTGAAAATAGTATTTGCAAAAGAGCAAAAAGAGAATGATATGAATTAAGAGAGCAAATGTGTTGAAAGCACTGATTAGAAAAGTATGGGAATTGACGCTAAATGAGTGAATAATAAAATAATGGTTGAGTTATAAGAAATAGTGGAAATTCAACTTAAAGTTAGAGAATAGTTCAGTGAAAGAAAATCAAACATTACCGAGGAGCGAGTATTTTAGGAGATAGATGCTGGCACAGAGAAGTAGAGAAGCAAAAAGAAAACGGTAGGATTGAAAGTTCCATGTCAAACCAAAATAATTGAAACTTGCTTCATTACGAAGGTTCGTGATAATTATGCGATAGGCGTGGAGTTAATTTGTTAAATCAAATGACATATGATTTTCATCTCTTTGGGTATCCGATGGCACACGAGTGAAGAAGCATTCTGCAATTGAACATGAGAGACGGAGTGGACTCTAAAATTATGATACAGCAGAATATAGATTCCGAGAACTCTCAGGTGAGTTTTTTTTATTTTAGATTTTTCCTGCTCAGCTGGATATTTATAAGTTTCCGTATGCAGGTGAAATGGCTTAATTTGCAACGTTGTTGCGCACACAGAAACTATGCAATGCTTTCGCATACATTTTAGTTCATTCCTTAGCGAAAAATTTTTATATAAAATGGAAAACAACGAAAGTTTTTTTTGCATTGTTTTTGACGACAAAAATGCTCTTTAAGTATCAGAGAGGCTTTTGCATTAACGTTATTACCTAGGTTTGCGTTAATTTATCAATTTAACCTACACGATTTTTGTTGTTGCATGTTATAGGTTCTAGATTTAGCAGAAAAACTTGCTCAATTGTCTGATACCAATGTCCATGAGTATTTTCGTGGTTTCCGGGTTATTCAGGATGAGCTCGATGCAGAACAGTGTAAAATTCAAGTAAGTGTCAATTTTTAACTTACATTGTATTCATGTTCCTGCTATTTAGAGCAGAATATCTTAATGGCTAAATAAAGGTCAGAATTATAATGGTGAGGAGACGAAATGTCAGTACTGCACTGTATAATCAGAATGATACCCAGTACGTGATATTACTATAATGTTTAGAATATTGATGCTCTTCGTATTCTTTTGATACCAAACTCTACTTATCATATTCTTTAAAAATCAATATAAGATTTCTTTGAAAATTTTGAAGATATTCAGTCGATATTTTTTGAAGGAGTTGGGTTATACAAATCAAATATCGTGAATTAGTCTTTTTCTTTTTTCAGTTTTTGCTCATTCACTTTCCTGATATCGCTACATAGTGTCTTGTAAGTCTTAGTCACTGTCGATATCACCATTTTTCGGTTGTGTGTACTGTGTATTCAAAATGATTACTACTCAATGCAGTGTTTTATATGCATTCGACGGATAGTCCTTCTATTTTAGCTAATTAGGAAAAAAACTTGGAATATTGTGGTTATAGGAAAGAGTGTACTATATGCACGAGAATCTACCAATTCAACTCTCACGTTTGCGATCTTCTCGGGAGAAGTTAGTTCAGTTGAAGCGAAAGATTCAGATTGCTTTGAAGAACTATCACAATAAACGGGAGCAGTTGTCATCGTCACTTAAACAGATCAGTTTGTGTGATTAACTCTAATCTGTTACCTTCATCGTTTTTAATCATCGCAATTTTGTAATCTAAACTTCGAATAAGTAGCTTGAATACTCTTGCATCCATAGCGATAGACGAGGTATCTTTCTCATCATTTCAGTTAAAATTGTCAGTGAGGGAGATATCACTTTGAAAGAAATTTTTTTTTCAGAATGCACCGGATATTCATAATCAGTTGGAACGGATCGGACAACAGATGAAAGAGCTGAATTACCTTAAAGCTGCTCACAAACTGACACTTGGAAAGTCAAAAATCAAGAAAGCAATAAATGTTTCTAACTTCCTTGCTATATATGACAATATCCAGTCTTTGAAGCAAAACGACAATATAGATTTGCAGTTGGTATGTTCACACCTTCTGAAATAAAGAAACTCTCAGACAGTGCTGAAAACGGGTCGTAAAGGAAGTGAAAGTTTTTATTTCTAATATATTTGAATGTAAGTGGTTCGGCTGGACAGTAGTTGAGGAAATGGAAGTATAAAACGTGTGTTCAAATTTTTCATACGGAGATATTCAGGATGAAAATGAAGCTAAGGATATTGATAAAATGAGAAAACAATTGCTCAAAGAAGCAGAACATCTTGTTTCCTGTTCTCTAAGAGATTTGCTGAAGAAAATTCATTACCCACTTGAAGAAGCTATTGATCCCAAGACTCATCAGAATTTAATTCAACAAATCGCTACTTTGCTAAAATGTCTTAGTATTCTGGATAACGGTAGTGTTATTTCGCACTGTGATAGGTATGAATTTAAAAAAGTTTCATGTAAATGCATGTAGCATTTACTATACAACAAAAATTTTAAGATTTAGAATAAAAATCGTAAAGCAATTCATCTTATCTGTGAATCACTTCCATACAGCAAGGTTTTTATCGATTTTATTAAAGGTCGAGGATTTTGACGGAACTAGTTGCTCCAGTGGAGAAACGATTCCAGTACCACTTTTTCACGGAGCAGAAAACAAATGATCCATCTAAACCAGAATGGTTTTTTACACAGATACTCAATTGGATAACAGCAAATATCGACTTGATTAGCGCTATTTTGCTGCACACTTTTAAGGATAAGGTGAATTTTGATTTGGGTTTTTTCTGGAATGTTAAAGAATAAACATTTTGATATCTTCAGGAAGTACCGAGCTGAAATAATATTTCCAAGTAGAATTCATGGATTATTTTCTTTTATTCATTCTGAAAGTTTTTCTTTACTAAGGCTGAGCAAAATGAAATGGTGAATGAATATGTGAATAAGCTGTTAAATTTGGCACCGAAAAAAGTGCAAAATGTTCTTACGAAAATACAAGACGATCCTCAGCTATTATCTCATCTTATTGATGAGTGTGTCGCCTTTGAAAACGAATTACAAGGTAAGGTATCATTCCTTTCCCATGATACCATAATATCGGTGTTTATTCCAGTTTTATCTGCCGAAGAAATAACGTTATATTTAGCTGGATATATTGTTTTATCTATTTTATACTGTACTTGATTTTTCTCTTCATATTTGGTCCGTCATTTCTAGTATTTAGCTGATGATCTTCAGATATTGCTATTCCGATACGCTCGGGTAATGTGCTGTCCGTTTTATGCGAAGATATCTATTTACTAAAGTGGTTACAGCTCGAACGTGAAAGCTGTATCGCAGGAGTAGAAAATGTGCTTTGCGGAGACGACTGCTGGAACAATCGATACAACACATTCTCAGACGTTGACATGGTACCATATAGTTGTATATTTCTTGAAACCATTGGTAATGAGCAGGGGTTTTGATATTTGAACTCTAAGAAAAAGGATTGTTTCAGCAACAAGTACCGGAATGTACTGATCAATTCCTTTTGATGATCGAATCAATTACAGAACGTTATCGTTGGATAGAGAGTGTGGATGTGCAGTCGCAGTTCCTGAACGTGCAGGTAAACGTGTTTGGCTATTTCCGAATAATGAGATAAAGAAACTTAAGTAACGTAATGTTGAAAATCACCGTTGCTTTAATGGCATTGTTTTAACACATTATTATATATAAAAAGTTTGATAGAATGTATAGTAGTTATCACCAGGTACGTCTAAGTGCCGCTCAAAAAGTTAGATGCTTTTGTGCATGAGCTTCATGAAAAAGACAATTTCAGATATTAATTTGTTTTGTTTTGTAGATATTCATGTTGGATGATTTCCGATTGCGTCTTGTACATATCTCTCAACAACTTGCCTCTCCATGGCAAAAGCCCTTCATTCAAATCCTAAATTCTGCATGGTATGTTTAGAATTAAATGGTCTGCCTTTTTTTTTGGAATTAAGGAATCCAAATTGCTACTGATAAGTGGCAAGAAATTAAGCTGGCAGGCAATTATTTCCGAAAAGGTATATACAATAACTACAGAATTGTATGGACTAGCTTTGTCACTGTTTTTAGTTGAACTATAATGACGGTATCAAGTGATGGGAATAGAGGCTCCTCATCCTAACAAATTTATTTATTTAGTGCCATTCATTATTCTGGACAACTACATAATTGCATTAATGCAGGTACATAGCTTTTGTGTTGGATGAATGGAATGAAGTAGATATATTCATACGTATTCAAGCATTGGGAAAGAGAGCTCATTTTCGAGGTGTTTTCGAAGATGTAGCCAATATGTACAGACATTTATGGCGGCAAAGGGCCGAGGATCTCACATCGGCATTCTATCAGCATATCCATGTTTCACTGAGTCATTATCAACGTGAACAGTGGTAATTTTTTTTGCTATTTAATTTTCAACTTAGAGATTGTAGCTGGAAAAATTCATAAACAAGTTCGTTGTTTTAAAACTACTTACTGCTACATCGCTGCAGCTTCATTTCAGTGAATAATAACACGTAAGAGTAAAGTCCCTGAAGCTTATATATATAATAATATTATATAGGCTATTTCTCTAGAAAAAAATACGAATCCAATAATAAAAGCTGAAGTGATTATACTTCGCAATGTTGCAAATGTAAATATGATTGTTGGAAGAATATGCAATTAAGAAATATCTTTGTCCGTGCAAACTTTTAAAAAACACATACGTATTGTAGGTACTCGTGGGAAGCAAGTAAACCGTTTGATCTAACTCCTTCATTTTGTCCATTTTTGCTAGAAGTGCGTCGACTGCTCGGACATGTTAATAACGCTGTGTCACCTCACTCTGCTACTAAACTTTATGAAATGCTGAATGAAAAAGTAGCGAAAGTGTTACTCCAAATGGTTACAACTATATCGCTGAAGTATGTATTCTATTTGTTTGTTCCTAGGCATTCGAAAGCAGACAAATTACAAATCTAACATTGAAGAAAGTACCCATATGCCAGATTTTTTCAAATCCTTAAAAATATATTTCAGTCAGTATGGAGCTGCTCAGATACTTTATGATATAACGAACAGCCTTATTCCCGTACTTAACTCTCTCTACAATCATCATAGTAATGCTGTTAATCTGGAAACTCTTGATGAACCGGTATGTGACTTCGACCCGTTAATGGAAATATTGAAAAACAATTAAGTAATGTCTTTTCGGTTGTATTTTTTTCAGAAATTCATGGAAGTCATATCATGCCTGAAAATACTATCCCAATCCACGGGCACAGCAATTCTCCTGTACGAGGAGCTGAAACGAACAACGGATCATATGACGCCGTCATTACTTGAACCGTTCGATGCTGCAATAATTGAACGCGGACGAGCTTTAGAATTGTTAAAGCATCGTTCGGATTTGTCATTAACAATCGATGAAGCCGTGAAAATTTAATTGTTCTTAATACATACAGTTTTAAGTTATTTTGTAATTAGAATTCTGCGGTATTCGTTGTTTTGAGATTCAAATCATTAAAGAATTAGAATTTTTTAATATCATTGCGGTCAATGGGATTTTTCAATATTATTGCAGTAAATGGAATTTGGGGTCTCATGTACCCTTCTTTGCTTCATATCTCCACTGCATTTGGCTTCATTAAGAAATTTAGAGGGCTGTCAGTAAAACTATTAGCGAAGTAGAAAAGGACGTCATTCGTTAATATTCGAGCATAAAAGTCTATTCTAAGACATATAGTTCCAAAGCCACTTGGAAATGTGCCGTGAGGAGTAACAATCAACAAAATGAATAATCAAATAGTGCATTAAAAAGATAATGGCTTCAAATTTCTCGCACTAAAAGTATTTAGTTGACGAGTTTTTCTTCGACATTTGAATATTCTAACGGTTTTCTTCCTCACCACAATTTTGAAAGAAGAGGTAATGAGGTGAACCATTGCTTTTTTAAGATTCTTTGAAGAAATCAAGAGCATGCGTGGATGGATGGATAACGTTGGATGCATAGGAGATGTATGAATTATTTTTTAAAACGAAATCCGGAGGATGGTCCATTTTTTTATTTCTGAACTGTCTTAAAAGCAGGATTTTCTATTGCGACAGATGTCCTCTTCCCCACTGACTCAAATGTAAAAAGGAATGGCCCAGAAAGTAATTCATAGGTATCAAATAAACTTCTTGATCGTTCCAGCTACTACTACTTTTCTTCCTATACCGCCGAAACCAATATATAGGAAATGATATATTAAAAATGTGACGGTAGTGGTCGCAAAAGGTAAAACGTGACGAGAGAGAGAAAAGTTCTACAAAAGGAGCACATAGCACTTTCAAACAAACGAAAGAAAACTTGGCAGGATAACAATTTTGTGAATGTTTTACTATAGGAAAATCGAATAATTACATGGAAAAGTGGCTGGTTCTTATAGATTCCCTTGTATACTCCATGCAGTCAGTCTACATATTTTGTTTCCCATAACGAGTGTGAAAAGATTCACCACCCATGTGAGAGGATGTTACAGATGGAAACTATCACTTCCTTAACTCATGATTTCGCAGTCCATAGAAAGGTATTACTCGATGGCAAACCTCGTGTTAACCAAGGGAAAATAAAGAACTGGAAATAACAGAACCGATTCCCTGCCTTCCACCGCACTGACTGCTGTAATTTCACCAAATTCCAAATATAACTTACAACAAAAATCACAAATTATTATGAAGTTCTTGAAATGACACGACAAACTTCGCAGGTGTATATAAAGGTGTATATAAAACAATAAATCTTTTTAAAAGGTGTATATAAAACAATAAACGAAATGTGGAGGTGATTGAATTGAAAATACCGTTCAAGCAATGGTAGTATTTCAATTAATACATAGAAATGAAGAAATAAGGCTTCCGCGTTACCTCAAGAAAAAGATTCCATATATTTGGAAAACTTTCATTTCTTCCTCTACCACTTTAAATGACTGCGAGCACAATGTTTGGAATACAAGGCAACGATATCTTGTCGAAGAAATGGAAAGAATGAGATTATTTAAAAAGAAATTTCTTTTTACACCTTTATTTAAATTGCCTTTTTTTGAGGTTTTCGAATTTTAAAAATATAAAAAATATATATATACTGAAAGCTTTTTGAATGCGAACTGTCATAAGGGCTTCATCTACTGCTTAAGTGGAGAGCGTATGAGACTCTGAAAATTGTTGATGATGACGCTCCTTCTTGAGCAATTTTAGCGCTAAACCTCTTCCATCTTTTGTGTGTTCAATTTCACAGCCAAAATCTACCCCGATATTTCCAGTATTTGCAAGCATTAATGATGCCAAACAGTAACGGCTGATATCATATCGTGTACTTACATTTTCCATTAACTGAAACAAATAAGATGATCAGAAAAACAGAAAATATCTTGAATCAACAGACTGTGGTTCAGATAACTGATACAGGGCACTTAGTTATAAATTTTATTGAAGGACTTTATTCTAGACATATAATTTACTCGTTGTAATAAAACTTTCAGATATCTTATCTCATTCCTAAAAAAAACCTTTTGCATACGATTGAAATGCGATATCTTCAAGAGATTTCGATTGTTCATTTTCTCATCTCTTTGAATTTCAATAATTATCAAATTCTGGATCACGGTAAGAACACGAGATACGATTAATCCAAATTCTCTCTTCCAAAAAAGTTGAATTTTTCTCTCTCGATGATAGCCTTTGTTGGTCGTATATAAGATTCTATTTACTAATATTTTCACACTGAATACATGACGTCATCTACCGCATATTTTCATCCTTAACACTGTTTTACAACAGCAAAATCAACTCATGTTTTAGTAAGACAACAATAACCTCAGCGAAAGTCTTCGTCTGTCCGATGTCTTCATATTGTTCCAAAAGTTCGGTACCATACTGATGTATGTTAAATTCTCGACGTGTTTCTTCTTCTTCCAATAATGGCTGAACTTTCTCCTCCCATTGTTGAACGCGTTTGCATAATTTCGATGTAGTTTCTTCCGCTGATGACCAATATCTACGCGTATATCGTTTTACAGTATTGCATTAGAAATGAAAACATGCTCTAATATGAGTTAGAGTTCCACTTTTATATCCCTTTAATAATAAGGCAAGAAATTTCGGAATGAAAGAAAAGTAGAGAAAGTACTAAAATACGAGAGGAAGAAATTATTACCAACAAGTTGTGATCTTTTGTCTCTTACCGAATAATCTGACTGACCCCATAAAAAGATGAGTGAAAGAATGCTTCAATTCGAATTGTTAAACATTACAAGTGATAATTTCAAAAAAAGTGGAACAAGAAGCATCAGAAAACTGCAAGTTTGTTGCTACCAGAAATGCATTTTATTAATTTGTCGCAAACAAAAAACTATTCTCTTACTTTTGCAAATGAACCTTCAGCAAATCTTGATATGTCATCTGTTCTGCAGGTTTCAAAAGAAGATCCGGATCGTCAAAATTCATATACATCGAAGAAATATGAACTCTATCTTCCAAGGCATCGTTGGGCATATTAGCAAAAGTCAGATTACCATCATCTAAATTAGAAAGCTAAAGAAAATGTAAAAGATTATCTGTAACACTTTTTATGGGAAAGGTTAGGAGTCTTTACCCTAAGTTATGAATCTTTACCATTTGTAATATCGGGAGCATTCTCGATTTCGTCATCAGAATAACCATTGTTAACATCTCCATATTCATCAACTTCTGTTTCACCTTCATCTGATTGAACATTACCTAGAAAAATGAATTCAACAAGAAACATCATAGTTCTTTAACAGAAGGCACACTAAAATAAATCTTTTCATCCCACTCATTAAGTTATGCAAGTTGAAAAATTCACATAATCATGCCTAACCTGACTGCTGATATAATCTGATATGCTGCAAAGCGCGCTCTTTAATTGCATTCATTCGATGCCTTTCTAGATTTCGAATAAGCCTGAAAACAAAAAGAATTGCCCAACTAGAGCGTTATAGACAACTGTTGAATATATGAAATAAAAAGCTCACTTTCCGAAAATAATTGAGAAGTCATCATCCAGGACATGTACAGTTCCTTTTGGTAACGAATGATAAATATGTCGTTGAAGGAAATCATTAAGAGTGGAAAAAGTTTTCAACCCCAATTTTTCTTTCCTTTTTAATCGGCGTTTTTCGATTTGTTCTGGTACAAAAGAAGGTTTGCAGGCCTGGAAAATAATTTCTATTATAAAAAAAAACATCACTGAATAGTACCGAAATCACTAAATATCATTACATGCTTTCTAAAAAAATGAAAGAAAGTAAATCAAACAACCTGTAAATAACGGTTGAGTAGAATTCTTAGGACAACTGCATTTTGCTTATTGAAATATGTTCTAAGAATTTGAAAACTTTTTTGTTTTGTTTTAAAAAGCAAAAAATTTACCAAATAACATTTTAGATATAAAAGTGCAAACTGGGAGTGGTCAGAAACAGACAGAAAAATATACCCGATACGGCGCATGCTTGCATTTCTGTAATCGAAACAAATCCATTACAGGTTCATCTTCATCTGTCTCATCGAATACTTCTTCATCAGCCTGCATTTAGAACCACATTTTAAATTTTTAGACATTATCACACCACAACCCAAATTTTCACCAGAATTTATCATCTGATTTCTAAGAAAATGGAGAAAAGACCGCTGCTTTTCAATTAACCGTTAAGTTTATTTATCAAAAAGAAGACTAACCGGATGATAACCGCCATCCTTGTCGTCCTCAGCATCGTCAAATACCGCCCCATCAAATCCAAAATCACCAGTTTCACCGTTTTCTTCCCGTACACAATTCCTGCTAACGCCATCCCTCATCATGTTTGTAACAACATCAACATCACTAAAAAGCTCTACGTGACTCGTATTACGGCGTGTTATCGTATTCAGGTTGGTTGCAGATGTCATGCGTCGGACTTCTTCCACTTCACTAGGAGAGCTGCGAATATGCTCGTTACCTGCAACAGATAATAGCATACTAATCCGAATTTTTTCATTGCTTGAAATCAGCATAACGAGATTTAAATGTTAGTCTTTCACCGAAGTCGGCATGAAATCATTGCTAATTAAGTATATATTATAGAAGAAAGTTGAGAGTGTTAGGAATTACTTTAACCACTGCGGCCTTATTGGAAAAAATTACCCAACTGTCCATCACTCTGAAAATGGGGCAAAAAACCAAAAAGGAAAGTTCACGCAAAAGTTTATCTTCTTGGCAGAACTAACTCCAACAGTTTCAAACTAACTTCAATAGTTATACCGTTGGATTACCATTATTACACCTTGATTTAACAACTAAGATTGATGAATTAAAGATAGTTCAACTACTGTAATCTTATTCGAAAAAATTACCCAACTGTCCATCATCTTGTTCCATCGGTACATCAGCGTAGCCAGAATTACCTTGACATTGCTCCCGCACCACAAAATCATTCAAGAGCTTTGCATTGGCTAAATCGAGTAGGAGAGCGCCCTGGAAAGAATACTCGTCAAGATCATATACAAATGTAACATAATCAAATGAACAACATTTAACCGCTTCAAATTTCCTTAATCAAACAGCGTTCAAATTATCCGAAACAAGGATGGAAACCACATAGGAGGGATGATTCGTTTTCACGAATATATAAAATATGGTATAGGCTGATAACTCAAATCAATGAAAATATTCCAGTAATACCAGAAAGACACCAAACCGAAACAACAGTTGGTCAAAGTAATGATAAATTTTTGTGAATAAATTTTGGAGCTCTATTCCATCCTCTATCCTTCCCCAGAGACATGCATCTTGGAAAAGTAGTTTATAGTTTAAGAAAGCAATACTGACGCTCTTATGGATGAAACCAGTGTTGATAATGAAATCATCTTTTTTTCCGATTAATTCTTTAAGGTTTCGGGATGAGTACAGCGGTACGTTGGTTTTCTCAAAATCAGCAAGGGGCATCAATGAAATCGGTATCTGAAAATTCGCAGAATTTTGTATAAGACATTACATGCTTACGATAATATCATCATCCAACCAATTTGTTATTCTAAATTATTCCATGAAACATTGACGGCTGAAACCTAAGCAAATATCTAATGAAAGGATATTTTATCCCTTATTAATGAATACTGATACACATTGTATTGATACTTCATCACTTCTTATGATAGCAAAACGAACCTGTGCAAGTAAGGGTGGCGGTTTTGCCTCACTTTTCAGCATAAGTGTCTTCCAATCAACAGCTCGAAGATTTGTGAATTGTATAAGCTCACAAGGGTCATCCGGTTCCTGGATAAATTCATCAACGTCGTCTTCAACGTGTTCCATATTATCTATAACATGGCGATCATTCCATCACTATTATCTTTTGGACTGTAGTATTTTTTTTGTCATAATACATCATATATATTCAAAGTTCATCTACAACTATTCATCCTCATTTAACCAAAACACGGCTTCCTTCCTGGATATCATTTATTACTCACTTATTTTCGCCATGGTTTCATCTGATTATTTAGTTCAACTTGTTCATTCTTCAAATTAAGACAGCTGTCAATTCTATCACATACTAATAAGCAATATTTTCAAGAATTACATTTTGCCAAAAGCTATAATATGCATCTTCGCTTACGTGATAAGAGCAAATGATAAACTAATAACAACAGTGATTAGAAAACAAAATGATTACAATTAACCGATCTCATCACCTGAATTTCTTTTCCGGGAAGTCTTCTTATCACGAAGTTGTTCGTAGAAATCCCGTGCAAGTCCGTGAACATACTCAACCTTCTTACCATATACAATTGTTGAACCTTGAATAAGTATTGCTGCTTCCGCAAAATTAAATTTGTTCTCTTCACCGATTTCCTCATCGTCCAGTCTTGATTGATCGCTTAGTTCTCGTATCCTGAAATTATTCTAGTGATAAGAACTACCAAGCTGAGAATTTGTGGCAAAAGTTTATGTGTCCTATAATGCATTATGTTGACGACACTTATTAAGTGAACGTTAACGATAACGATCACAAGACAATAATTCCAATCATCTTTCTTACCCACTTTAAAGGTAGGCGTACTTTCCATCGTTATATCTATGTGCAACAATGAATAAAAGATACCTACCTTTCAACAAATTCTTCTAATAGATGACTAATATCGATATCCCAGTTTTTCTGCAAATCTCTTATGGGTTGCAACAGGAAGGCATATCGTGTACTTAATTCATCGTCCTCCGCCATCATGCACGCTATGAAAAGGTAGCTTAACTCACGTCACGTTAATTTATCCATACCTTGTAGCAATTAAATATTTCCGAAAAAATCCAAGAAAGAAATCTCGTCAATCTTGCCCGTCAAGAAGTGCGGAGTTAATTCCAAATGATCGTTTCCCGCGTACGTGGAAATACGTGAGCCGCGAAATACCGGTTGGGGCATCGAAGGAAAACAGGTTGAGGTGACGTCTAAGAAGGATTTAATTTTTACGTGGAAGTCAAATACTCGTTGAGATTAAGTCTCCGATCATCTTAGTACTAAGTAAGGATAAGTTCGGGGATCATGAGTAAACTTCCTCTGTAATTAGATATTATAGAAATTTATGGTTAGGAGTTTGGGACAAGAAGTTTGGTGTCAAATACTCGTTGAGATTAATATCTCCGGCATTTAGTACGAAATAAGTAGAAGCTCGGGGATCATATATAAGTAAACTTCTTATATAATTAGATATTATAGGAATTATGGTCAGGAATTGTGAGATGAGAAGTTTGGTGTCAGGAGATGATGTATTTTCGTGTAATACATAAGTTTTCACATCATCAATCTTCTCTGGTCAGTTTGTTTTAGTTCATTTAGATTGCAAGTAATTGCACTGTTATTAATTTAGGATTTTAATTTGGAGCATCAAATGTGTGTTTTCCAGTTATTATTTTATTATTTAACATTTGCAGCTTTCCTTTTATTGTTGCAAGAGAAAAAACTTTTTATGGAAGAAATGAGGATTTCAAATGTAATGTGTTTATTCATAACATAAGAAGAAGAATCAAGCATTAAGATTTCTTAGATTTATATTTCATTTACATATGATTTTCTTAACTAATTAAATTTGTTGTGTTTTGATGGATTTTTGGAAATAATGATTGTGCATTTTTCTTACTTTTGCGTTACAAATTTTGTTTTCGTCATATCTTCCATGTCTATAGAATGATTTTACGCTACCTCCCTTTTAATCGGTATTTTTGTGCTGTGACCTTCTCAAGCTCATTCATTCGTTTCTCTTTTTCACTCTTATTGTCTATTTGATTTTGTGTAATATGGAATGAGCAGTTGAATTGGTGAAGTGGGAAGCGTTAATCATTTAAATCTTTTAGCTGTTCAGGAATGAAATTTATGTTTCCGCTCTAGTATGCCACGGAAAAATGAAACGAAGGTTAATTTGGATGGTACGCTGATAATGTTGTACCTCGGCTTTAGCATTTATGGTGATATTAAAATGCATTGCATTGTTTCGTGAATTTTTGAAGTAGATTAAAATATTTATAACTTCAATTTGCAGAGAAATACCAATAATGTATTGTGGAAATGAGGATGAATCGGTAAAAGATGTGGTGAAGGAAGTTGTCGATATGCTCTGTGCTTTGGGGACTGATACCATGATAACGACGAATAATCATGAGGATGTCAAGGTTAGAGACAGATTTTGCTAGAACAGTAGAATCTAGTGATGAGTATACAAGGTACTTCTCATTATTCTCACCTACATTATTATTTTCTACACGATTGGTTTGTTTCTAAGCTTATTAATCTATATATTTCTTTGCATTCATTTTTATATGATCACTATAAATGATTACGTTAAGATTAGGTCAGAAAAATCAGGAATTTTCGGAGCAGTAGAATAATTTTTGGAGTAATTATGCTTCGTTTTCAAAATTATTAAAATTTCCTGATTAATCATGTGCACTGCTTCTTATATATAGAGATTTGACGATGCTCGTGACTAGGTCAGTAGTATTTCAGGTTTCGTAGTAATAGACGAGTTAACAGTAGGTTAAGATATAACTAAGCAATTTTGTTATGTGATTTATTGAAATGTTTGCTTCTAGGAACCTGATTGTTCCAGTAGCAAGAATTTTGCCGTGGATTCATCACCTATGAATGAAGAGGAAGATGACAACTGGAGAACGAGACATTATAATATGGGTATCGCTTCCTTCCTCAAACAGGTTCATCTAAAATTGTTGCTCTGTATTTGTCGTGTTTTTAATATTTGGTTTTAAAAGTACTCCTAAAGATTCTTCTATATTTCTTCAGAATTCTCGGTTAGAAAGCGTATCTTCCAGAAAAAGGAATATGAGTGTACTCTCAGAAAGAGGGAGTGGTAACATTTCTTCAAGCAATACTACGGTAAGAATTACAGTGTTCAGCGAAAGCTATTATAACTATCACCTAACATAGTGTTTAACTCATCATCTAACATTTGCGAATTCATTATTTTTAATACTTTTTGACATTAATATTTTTCTGTAATTGAACGCATTTCGAGCTGGATGGAAAGATTTTTTGGAATTGGTGATGCTTCCAAAAAATCTTTCCATCCAGCTCGAAATAGATTATCGCTAGATTATCGCTATTTTAGAACTTGAGAGGCACGTAGCAAATGAAATTTTACAGAGTCAAAAGATCGATGATGATCAGAAAATACCAAGAAAGATTGCTCGACCGCAGTATTCAAATTTCAAAGAGGTGTTTAGAGAAAGGGAAGTTTTCGTGACGAAGGCTGTTGATTATGGTTTCAGTGTGTCTAATTTTTGCAACAACTACTTAAAAAGCTGCAAATGGAGCAGTTCGGGTAGTTATTTAGCTACGACTAGTCAAGATAGGATAGCTCGGATATTCCACTTTGATCCTGAAAAACTCGAGGTTGATATTCACCCATTGTGTTGCTACACTATTCTTTTTACTTTCTGTCCGAATATAATCTCTTATGTATGTATACACGTTAGACGCTATCCTGAGCAGAACTATAGGTAGTAATGGTTTAGTTAGTGTTACTTTTCAAAAAAACTTTATATAAGGCATGTAAACTTCGTAGAAAACATTTCTTTCCATCGTGTCCTAAACTTTCTTGAAATTTCTTTTAAGGTGAAATTGAAATCTTCGATCGGTATGGGCGATTTGACCTACGATTCATGCTGGCATCCGATCAGTGACTGGCTAGTAACAAGTAGCAAAGACCATCCGATCCATGTATGGGATTCAGACGGACGGCGGTTGGCAACATTTCGCGGCATTAATAGTCTAGTAAGTTTCCGGTTTTAGTAATATTATAGAATAATGACATTCAGTGAATCATTAAATATTCAATGTTCTAGATTTTTAATCCGTATTAGAAATTAAGCACATACTCATCCTTGATTTATCGCTCAACCAATTCTGTTTTAATAGTATTTCACGCAAATGGGCAATTAAATTTTGTTGGCATTGAGAAATTATAGGATGAACTGGATAATGCTCATTCATTATGCTTTACTTCCGATGGTTCTTGTTTATATGCTGGTTACAAAAGCAGCATTAGAAAATTCGATATGAATCGACCTGGTCATCAAATTTCCGAACTGACTACGTGGAGTAAGTCAGTTAAAATTGCCTTGAATCTTATATCCGAAGAAAAATCTCAATTGTGGAGTTTTGCAGATGTTCTTGCTTCTTGAACTTTCACTTTCATGCTATTATAGATAAAGAGTCGAAGGGACAGAAGGGTATTATCTCCTGTATTGCTGTCAGTCCTATACTACCAACAAATTATGCCGCCGGATCATATGGCAAAACAAGTGAACTGTTTAATTCATTAAGCGGCAGTTCTTTTCTCTAGTTCTATTGAAACAAGAATTTCAGCGTTTGTTAGAGTGCATAATGAGATAAATCGTAGTAATGGTCTTGAACTCTTCTGCCAACAATGTGAACATTTTTTCAGTTGGTTTTTATTCGGACTATTCACCGAGTGTGGAATGCATGTTCGAATGCCCACTAGCGGTAACTTTACTTCGCTATACTCCCGATGGCAACTTCGTATTGACAGCGGGGAGGAAGGTATTCGTTTCATCCGCAATTCACCACTTATAAAAAGAGATTATTTTTGATAGGTTTTTTAATTACACGTCGACGGAAGAAATGAAATAAAGGCGTCGAAACTGAAAATGGAGTCCGAATTTGTATAGTTCCTTCAAATATGTTCCTTTAATTTTTGAGCACTTTTCTGACCGCCGGCTTATTTCAGGATGACGATATTATATCTTGGGACTTACGATATCCCGGAAAGATCTACAGCTTATATAGCCGACCTTCGACAACCAGTCAGCGCATCTATTTCGATATAGACAGGTAATTGCCAGCAGTTGGTAGTTTAACCTCAAAAGAATAGAGAAAGATGTTGTTCTTAAAACAGTAGGAGGATGTGAAAGATCGGGAAAAGAAGGAAGTAAAAAAAAAGGCAGAATCTTAAAATGTTAAAATTTCAGTTCAGGAACATATCTATTCAGTGGCAGTAGCAACGGTGAATTATACATCTTCGATCTGAAATACACAAACGGTGATGAACCGCTGGCGCCGTGCGTCCGACTATCCGCGCATAATTCAACACTATGTGGTGTGAGGTTTGTATCATTAAGAATATTTCTTTTCCTGTAATGTACAGAAGTAAAAAGCTTAATAAGGTAGTAGGATGAGAGAAAAAGAAATCACTTCTATCGCTTTGCCCTAATTCCAAATATGAGGAAGCTGAAGACGCATTCCGTTAAAAATTAATAGGCGCCTTGTGCTTTGACAATGCTTTTCAAGAAATGACAGATAAACTGGTAATCTTTTTTTAGTATCCACAGAGAATGGCCAATCGTGGCCACTTGCAGTGGACAAAGAGTCTTTCCGTTCCCTGAGCTGGATCAAATGGGTGATATTGATTCAGGAAGCACATATGAAGATGTAAATTCACCGGAACTTCTGGATAATTCTTTAGTGTTATGGTCATTTGATCAGTAGTTTACGATTCCTTTAACAATAAAGCAATGGTATTGGGCGGTGAAAAGTTCTCTAATCACAGTCATTGTTCATTAGTACCGTGTTAAACAAACTACGGACAAATTATTAATATACAAATAGCTCTTCTTAAGTAGTCTATCGCTGTACATATCATACATATTCTTAACTTTGTAAGAATAGCTGACCTAGTAGAAAAGGAATATTGCCGGTAAACAATTCTTAAAAATTTATGAAGTTTTTTTTTGATAACTTTATATTATAAAGCTATTTCGGGTTACCGACACCTTCGAATGAAGGAATTAGCGCCTTCGCTGTTGTCCTTTGTTTCTGTTGGAGTTTGCTGTCGTTTTGTAGCGCTTCTAGTTCGTCGGTTTTATGGGCTCATCTAATTCATTGTTTTATTTAGAGAATCTTCATTCGTTGCTGATTGGACTGTTTTTCTGTTCTTACTTTTTTCTCGTTTTTTCCTCCCATTTAATTTCTAGAGGAAATCTAGAGGCCCCGTTCGTTTTCTGCTCGTGCAGTGGATATTTTGTTTGGGAATGCTTTATTTGACACAGTCGTATAGTGGAAGGCTTAATATACGGAGTATTTTAATTCTTTTGACGTTACAACACAGTTGTCGGGAATTATCAAGAGTAGGAGTGATCACTTGGCCGTGCTTCTTTATCCTTTATCCAGGTTTTTAGAATGGATGGTACACACTGCGGAAAGAATTAATAATATTGAAAGAATAATTATCTCACACGGAAATTCTGATCATGGGTTCCAATTTCGGGGTTTCGATTGGAAAAAAAAGAAACAGGTTTTGGGTAAAATAGCATATGCTGTCGGAAACCCGAAATTATGAAATGTTAAAGTTATGAGAGTATTTTATAGAAATTTATATTTAAAGGATTATTATCTAAGATATTGTCAATTGAAAGATTTATGGTAGTGTTTAAAAAATCTTATTCATTTGAGATCATAACTTATGTGATTAATAGCCATCTTATTAAATTTCACCGGGAATTTTGGGACCGATTTTTATATTTATCTTTATTTAAAACGAGTTTCAAAATTATTGTTCATTTTAATCTTTGATGCTTAATTGATTATAAAATTATAAAAGATAGTCCTCATCGGATATTGGAGAGATCTTAATCCACTTCCATTCGAACCTGACTCTAATCTTATTCCCAAACTCGACTTCTACTTTTTATATTATATTTGTTAATAAAATGTGTCAAGTTTTTCAGTATTATACTGCACTATTGTTATCTGCATCCAAACAGATCCCTTCTGGACTACTACCTCAATAAACATCCCCAATATACTCTTCCAAACAAACAAGTTAGCTAAATACTGCACTCTACTACTGATAAAAATCTCTGATAATAATCAAGAAGAAAACTCTCCAAAAGAAAATCAACTCGACTTGCCAGAACAAAACTCTTCCGAGATAAAACAAAATTTAAAGTTCACACACGGCCGTTACAGACTATGGAACCATCACATTGGGTGTTAACTTACTATGGAACACTAATATCGTTAATATCAGCGGAATAATAGTGTCACAGAAAAAAATTGTTTTTTTTTAATCAGATTATAATGAATTTCAGGGATACGACATCGCGGAGTTCGTAATATTTAGTTGACCAATTAGAGTTCTAAATTTCGCATAAATGCAGTCATATATTAAGCATACATTAAATAAGAACGAGAGAATTAATGTTCAAAAGGACTATGTTGTACCAGTCAAGTGAAGCATACAATGTAAAGCTCTATAATGATAAATTTTATAGCATCTATGTTGAAGCGATCTTAGCTTTTGGGAAATAAAGCTATCAGACTCGCAATAAGGGCAAATCCAGCAACCAATGAAAGGAGTTTTGCGATACGAAGTTCACGTTGATGAAATTCGTGCGGCAATATTTCGAAACAAGTTATGTACAGAAATGTTCCGCATGCTGTTGCCTGTGAATATTGATTCAAATTAGTTAATAGATCAAATGTCGTCTCTCTTGGACAACTTACTTTGACCTCTACGGGTTCCACTTTCTCTATAATTACTTCTGTGATACTTACTGTGAACATACATAAACTTCCTACTGCTCTTTCTCATACGTTTCAGGATATAGCGTGAAATACAAAATAAGTTTTTCGAAGTATTTCATTAAATTAAAGACGTTAGTCGAACAACGAAAGCCAAGACGAATTCTATTTCAAATATTGATACCAGTAAATGTAACGAAAAATTACTTGTGCAATGAAAGAAACTACGCAAGCAGTAAGTGGTGATCCACGGCTGACGAAATCCAGGATAGCGATACCACCAAAGCCTCCGATAATAATCTGCGCAGCGAAGACAATCGAGCACAATAATGCCGTTGTAAAACTTAAAGCACTCTGCACAAGACGAACTCCAAGTGAAAAGCCAATAACTATTTTATGCAGAAGTAGCGCGAAGAAAATCTGCATATATGCGGTTAAACATCATCAAGTTCTAGTAAGAGGACCAACGGATAATGCAGACCTTAGTTTGATGCTATTCCTTATACAAAAGTAAAATAGACATATCCTGTTGACAGTTTAAGAGGACAGGGCATACATAAGTTATTTTTCACAACTCCAAAATAAAGTAATAATACGAAGCACTGAACTGTTTTATAGTGAAATAGCGTTTACCTGTATAATTTCATTCATACCACCAACAAGGCCTAATGATAGGCCTTCAAACACAGCATGCAATGATAGTACCATCACTAGCAAAACAACTCGTACCGTTGATTGAGACTGCGTCAATAACTGTTGGTTATTTTCACTTTCTAAATTTCAAGTACAATTACCTTTCTAACGAAACAATCGGGACTGATAAAATTTTTCTGAAAAATGTGTCAGAAAGAGTCAACAGTACATAAGACAACAAACCGTATTCTGAGTAAGAATTTAAGAGTTCAGAATTTAGTTCATTGTGATCGTGATGTCCCGTAATTAAATTGCCCATATCTGTGGAACCATGCCATTGTTTTTCTCGGATAAATACAGTAATCTATTTATGAAAATCATTATACTTTCCGAAGGATTCTACATTTCCTGCACTATATACTGACCAATTATTGCTCGAGAGAAAGTTCCCCGTCAGTCAGTCAAACCTGATAAACGAAGTTACACGAAGTAGGGAATACGGACGAATATGAAGTTTTTACTACGATAAAAACAGAACTATTTGTTGCCAGGCACCGAAAGTTTACCACTAGATACAACAAACAACAAGAATAATTATAGGAAAAAGCACAGGTGCCCGCTTTTGAACTAGAATCAAAAATTACCTGTTCAATTGAAAGCACCATCAGAAACCCAAAGGCTACTAATATTTCCATAACTGGATAGGAATAAATGATCTTCTGCATTTTTTCAATTTTTCCAAGACTTTCCTTTGCGTCCGGTAACAGGTCTAAAAGACATGTCGCCAAAAATACACCACCACCAAATACAGAAATCAGAGAAAGTACTGGCCAGAAACCGGTGGTTGTATTCGCTATACGCCGAAGTAATAATGCAAACTGCAAATTATAATCAAATTATGTCACTATATTATCTCTTCATTATAATTCAGACATAGCGTATAACAAAAACAATAACATCCAATGCCCAATCTACATGACCATATATTTTATAGAGAAAAGAGTCAAGAAAATCCACTATTAGTAAAAAATATATGATGAATTTTGCAGTAATCTTAAATATATTAAATTTTCAAAAACGAAGGAACAAAAGAAAATGAAAAAAACATACCGAACAAGCTAAAAGCGTTACGATAAACAGGGTGATGATAAGGCCTGTCCTAAAAAGTTCATGTACCGGGACGATTGGTCCTGGTGGTGCAGGTGATAAAAACAGATTTCTAATGTCAATATTCATTCCTTTCGATGTATTGTATTTATAACTGGGACCTTAAACAAGTGAAGAAATACTGTTAAGCAGTTACTAAGGCTTTTTATCTCCATTCTACCAAATTATGAGTCATTATTCCTATATGTCCTGAAATTAATAAAAAATAAATATTTGCATAATGACGGAGCGCAAAAAAACATCTTTATCAAGCTTGAATTTTCAAAACCTTTCAAAATCTCGCCTTGCTTTGTTTTTTCAATGACAGGAAGAGAAAATGATTTAAAGACTCGGTAATCACTTCTTTGCAAAAGGAATAAGTATGACTTTTTTTAAATAGGAAGCTCGGATTCTAGTAGAAACTGACCAAAATGTGTACCTTTTATTTTGTAATAAGAAAAATCATGACAGGTCTCTATACGGTTCCAAATCCGGAAATATTACCACACCGGAAAGATATATCCACTTCTTTGCAATGTACCAGAAATGTTTCACATAATTTATAATTATCTAAAAATGACAATATGTTACCGCAACGGAATATCGACGAATGATGGGTACGTGGATGAACATATACACGCACGGGTGTGACGATGTAAAAGTGAAAAGCATAAACGTGATGATCCTCACATTTTAACGTCAGTTAAGATGAAAAGAACCATAAATTTAACAAGCCTTGCACCTCATGCTTCTTCCCCGTGATCTCTCAATAAAATACCCCAGATCATTCGAGATCTCACAACTACGAGAACGGAGTAGTTGGAATGAAGCGCAGTATTGCTGTCGTCCGCATGCGATCCTGAAAACATTCAGCGGGAATTTAAACGGTAAGAAATCTAAATTGGTCTGTTCTATTTCTTCAGATGGATGCGGTGGGTACTCAAGTGAATGTTGTAGAGAAAGTTAGATATGAGTCATGTATAAATAGACTTGTTTATCATATACCAAATGGTAAAATGACAGTACAATAATGTTTAGTGATGATAGATCATTTGAGATGACCGCATATTGGGTCTTTTTTTTCATACAGGTGGTACTGCTTTTGTTGGCGTTATATTGTGTATTTAAAATTGCGCTTAACTAACGTCGCATTATATGAACGTGTGTAAATGCCATAAGTGAATTGCGAAGGTTAACATCATGTTACCCACACTATTGCGTTAATTTACATTACGTGAGTTGGATTTTCATTTTCACGTGAAAATCCATGTTATTCATACATTAAATTCCTATTATGTGCGTTGGTTACATTATGTGATTGCGTGTGAAACTAACTTTTTACATATTTGTAGTATTGATAGCTTTGTAGAACGACCACTTTGAGCTCTCAAAATGGAAAATGATCGGAAGGAATGCAATAATTAGTAATGGTATATTAAAGAAGAGGAAAATATTAAGAAATATTCAAAGCGGGATGAATTCAATACTTGATCAAAAGGTGTCAGATGCTGACCCAAATGATACAAATACCATCTATGAAAAGGTTCATTTGCATCATTTCTTTGTTATGCCTGTTTTCAGCGATTGGTTTTGTTAAGCAAAATGACGATAGTACAAACAAAACTTCTGTATCATATTGATTCTCTAGCAATCACTGGTATGTTTATTTCAAAATGAATTCTTTGAGGCTAAAGCTTACTGGGCAACGGTATCATGTAATGTTGATGGTATGCTTGGAGGCTTTGCCCATCTTCATGTACCCGACATTCATGCTTCAAAACAATTCATCAATCTTTTGAAAGCTAAAGTTTGTTTGAGTTTTTCTATTACTCAGATATTTTATCTTAACATACGTACCGTCATTAGCAGACTCTACAATCTTTCATTAGGAAATAATATAACTGAAGATACAGTGCCTTATTTTGCATTTAAGTATATTTTTATTCACGTTAAAGTACTGAAAAGCCTTTTTTATGTAGGAAATAAGATGTCTTTCGCGTAAAAAAGATTGAAATTCGCAGAAGTGGGCAAAATCCTTTCCTATTTATTGGAAGTAAATAGATTTTGTAAATGATATTTTATTTAGGGAATGCTAACGAAATATGAACGGGCTGTTGATTGTGGATGTGGAATAGGGCGTGTTACCAAGCATCTCTTATTACCATTGTTTGAATCGGTAGATATGGTAGATGTTACCGAAAGTTTTATTCATGGTAAGATGATTTTATTTATTACTTTACTGCTTCAATCTTTGTTCGAAGAAATTTCCTGTACTCTTTTGTTCTTAAAACAATTTTTCTATGTAATCGTTCTTTTATGAATGTTGATACATCAAAATATAATTAATGGACGACAAGATAATAGTACTTTTTTACTAACTAATATAGGATAAAGTCACTAACTTATAATAATGTAGCATTATTGAGAATGATAACGACTGATGAGTAACAGCGGTTGTTGGTTATTACTAATGATAATTAATAGTCAGTCTCTTTTATTATTATTAATGATAATTAATAGTTAGTCTCTTATATGTGGCGACTAAGAAACGATTACATAGACTGGATAATTTTCGAATATTTAATTTCCCTGCAGGTATTTTGGAGTTGCTTCAAAGATTATTTCAGAATCTGCCAACTATATTGGTAGAGAGAACAGTCGGATTGGCAATAAATTTGTATGCAGTTTGCAGCAATTCCAGCCATCATTTTGTCATTATGATCTCATATGGATACAGTGGGTTACTGGTCATCTAACCAATAATGATTTCTGTAAATTCCTCCAACGATGTAAGGTGAGTTTGATTGGTAGCTAATTGTAAGTATATCAAAAAACTAGTGTGAAATAATGATAAGTCAAAATCCATAAAATTTCAAGTAATTAAATTATTCTGGCGCTTTATCATAACGTATCATAATATTTCTGGGTATGTGTTTGATGCTTCTTTTGTATGATCTCATATGGATACAGTGGGTTGTGGTTGAATGTTCCTTGCAAAAACCCATTTGCACGTTGTTGTTAACTGCTCCGTGCAAAAATCCATTTGATTACTTGCTTTATCGACTTTTATTTTTCTTGATTGCTGAGAACTTTAACCTTTCAGCTGTTTAAATGAATGCGTGTTACGAAGCTAATTACTTATAATAAGGTTATTAGATCGTGATATGCATTCATTTAAGCAGTCTTATTCATTAAATCATACATCGATGGGTAGATGTCCATTCGATAAGAATGGAGTTGGATGTAAATAAAACATTTACTTTAATGAATAGATAAAGACAAGGGTATGTTTCAGTTGTTAATTCTTGAAGAAGATTTTGATAGCGAATTTTCTTTAACATGGAATTTTCTTTGATATAAAATTTATATTATCATTGATTGAACAGAACTCTTTTGCAGGAAGGCTTAAAAGAGAACGGCTGTATTGTTCTGAAGGAAAACGTTACGTCTTCTGAAAATCGATATGATTTCGATGAAATAGATAGCAGTTGGACGCGTCCTAAGGATGCGTTGTTGCAACTCTTTCGAAGTGTCGGTCTTACATTGATAGCCGAGAAGAAGCAGCAGAATTTTCCAAAAAGAATGCTTCCTGTATATATGTTTGCATTGCGATAATGTAAACATACGCATAAAAATTGTGGTTTAAATGTATCTCTTTTCTTCTTCCATGTAATTTTAGTTGTTTTTTCTTGTTATTATAAATTTCCAAAATAAAAAATGTTCACCGTGTTGTATTACCATCATCTCAAAGTTGAATTATTATTCTCATAAGCAGTACATTTTTTCACCAATCAACACAAAAATATTAGGAGCAAAAAGGGGATGTTTTCGGATTGAGTTTTTACTCTCAACTTCGTTAAAGTTATATTGGAATGGAAATAACTTGAATCTTACACTCGGGATAAGTTTTTTTGCTTATCAAATAAGTGGAAGGAGCGTACGGTTTTGAACGTCGGTAACAGTCATTTGTTAAGTTAAATAGAGGAATTCGATCGCCTTTCGCTAGCTTTTTTTTAAGATTTAATTATGTCTCGTTTATTGTGTACAAATAAATATGCTAAAATTTTTTATTTTCTAAGAAACAAAAGACAATTACTTATTTTGACATGGGACTCGATCAGTTATAGAAAAATATCTTAACAACAGGATTTCAAAAATATAAAAAGCCTAAATCTGTACTTCAGCAACATCTTATCGCCAATGTGACAAGAGACCATAACGATACATTGAATTATATATATATGTATAACGATGATATCAGCTTTAAAGAAGAAATTAGGTGGAATAGATAGCGCTGATCATCGTGGAGGTAATGAGTTTGAACGTATGCCACATGGTATTGCTACTCTTGACCAAGAACTACAAAGGAAGTATGCGAAAGGAGTGCAGTATAATAGTAAGTGTATTGTTGGTAAATAATATAAAGGAATTGACGTATATTGTATATTTTTAAAGGTATTAGTTGTTTCGAAATTTCAACTAAACGGTGGTTTCTCAGTAATTATTTAAAGCTTCGAAATCATTTCGTAAAAATGAATGTTAAAATGGATCGAAGTGATATTTTTTTGTAAATGTTTGCGTCATGTTTCCTTCGTTTACATTCTGTCTATCACATCGACTATAAGATCAGTTTGTTCGATGTAAGAGGTTATTATTATAGTGAAAATCGTAATACGTGGCGATCGAAGTGTTGGAAAAACTTGTCTGTGGCGACGTCTACAAGGTCTGCCATTTCTGGATGATTACACACCGACTAATGAAATACAGGTCAGATTTTCCACATGATGTCTGGATGTGATCCTAATGCTGTACTTTAGAAAGAGTTGGTTGATAGGGACACTTTTTTATTCTGTTGTTACGGTGAAATTAAGATTCTTCAGAAGAAATTTACAATAGCTGATGATTTTTTATGAACTATAAATAAAAAACTTGAATTAACTATTAACTGATATCTATTGGATATTCTACCAGTAACTGTTTGTTTAGGTGGCATCCATACAATGGAATTATCGTGCAACAGATGACGTTGTCAAAGTAGATGTGTGGGATATTGTTGATCAAAGCACAAAGAAGCGTATAAAACCCGATGGTTTGAAACTGAAAAATATGGAGTCGGAAGTATTATCTCGTTCACTGATTTATCTACTTTATCATTCCCATCTCTGGAATTGTTCTTCCTGCTTAGTCACATTTGTTTTCAGTTCATAGAAGTTGCTTGTGATGCGCAATTCGTTGATGTTTATAAGGGCGCCAATGGAGTTATACTTATGTTTGATATTACTAAAAACTGGTATCGATTTTCATGTAACAATCATATAATGATAGCTGTTACTCTTCCAAAACGGAACTATAGCTCAGACATGGCCCGTTTAAGAAAGGACCTTTTAAATAAGTATCACATTATAGCAGTCATTCTGCCCTGTTTTTTTCTTTAACTTGTTGATGAGGAATAATAATATATTTGTTTGTAATTCAGGACATGGGACTATGTTATCAGAGAATTGGACAATGTACCGAGCAATATACCAGTACTGATTATAGGGAATAGGCGGGACATGGGACATCACCGACAAGTTTCCGAAGATGTTTGTCGAACATTTGTGGAATCCTATAAACGGTAACTATGACCATTTAATAAACTTTATATTCTTTCTTATCCTGACAAGATTTCATATCGTCTTTTTTGTTCTCTCAAAAGATAAGATTTTGATGAATTTCGTCAAGTAACGTGATATATATAAAAAATGAGGGCGTACTACATCTATTATATATGAAAATGAAGATGTGTATTGATCATATCAGTGGTGGTGTTCAAAAGTCTATCATTCAGAAGGAGAGATAACATATATCTAAAAAATATATATTTAGAAATTCTAAATTTAATATATGTGTATATATGTATACGTATGTGTGCGTGCATGCACAAAGATTTGAGAGAGATGGAGTGTTTATGGGATAGTGAACAGAAAATGAGGGAAATTCTTAATTTAATATATATATTTATTTATTTATTTGTTTTGTATCGAAATAGTACTATCATAATCACAAAATATAAGGATTATGGAACTGTGTAGACTGAAAAAAATACATTTTTAACATTTATTATTGTCAATATTGATCATCGATGATGAGGTATTTGCTATCATTAAAATGATACCAATAATCATCTTGAAGGAAAGATCATCATCTTAATCATCGTGAAGGAAAGAAGATGACATTATCAAGCCTTAAAATAGTTTTTTTTTCAAATTTGATATCAGTTTCTCTAGTTGGAATTTTCTTGAATAGACGAAAAAAGAACCAAGGGAATATTTTAAACGAATGAAACCATATATGTTGAAGTAAGTTATCCTAAGAACGTCTATGTTCATTGTTGATCTTTGGCCGTTGTACACAATCTTTGGTATGCAAGAGGTTGGTAGAAGTTGCATGACAGATTGTTTTTGTCATGTTTTAAAGTTATTTATGGTGGCTGCATTGAAGTTACAGCTGAGTTAATGTGAAGTAATCGATAGACATTACTCGCTGCTGTACCACTTCCTTTTCTTTTTTAATCACACTGTAGATTTTTATTCGCTATTCGCTATATTTCACTCTACTGATAATTTAGTCATTCAAAACTGCTGCTGCTGATAAGCTTTCTTTGATACATATTTTTTTCCTTGTCTCTTCTAATAGCTGAAATACTGTTGAAGAAGTGCTTCTCAAAAATTGATCTTTGAAAGATATATTGATACAATATAATTTTTGCAATGAGCGCCATGTTACAACATTTTACTTTTTCGAATAACTTGGCCAGTTGTTTTACTGTTTTCCAGAAACTTTCTTGGACGACGTTCCTTCGTCACTTCACTGCATTTCTGTTTTACCTATTCGTGCTAATCCAGTGGCCTAAGAGTGGGCTTAGCATGGCCAATATAATAGCTGCGCGAACGGGATTAACTAGTGTTTCATTCATACTGTTTTTTTGGTGTGCCATCTTTTATCACTATATGGTATCAGCAGGACGGGTAGACATTGATTGGATCGATGGACGATTTGAGGCAAGTGGCTGGTTAGTCCGAAGTTCGCGGCATACCCATCGAGTATTTCTAGTACTATCGTTGGCAGTATCCGCAGCAGCGGTAATACATACAAGCACTTTACATGTGTTGTTTGAATTTGAAAGACGTACATCGGAGTTTCTGAATTCTTCCTCATTTACGTGGTCGTTCAGTATTTTAAAGGTTGACTTCTTCTTCGTTTTGTTATTCGCTATTTATAGTGGCGTACGATTAAGTTTGGAGCCAACTGGACTTTTGAAGAGGTCAAGAAACACTGGTACAGCTATGGCAAGCTCTACCGTTTCATCTATTTCCAATTCTGATAATAGTAACGAAACTCCTATACTGAACTGTTCGGCAGCAAGAGTTGCACCAACAGAATCACCGTTACTGCAACTTCATAAATGTCCCGAATATATAGAAGAATGCAAAATTTGTCTGCAATATGTTGCGGATCGACAAATTGGTTGTGGTCACATGCTTTGCTCCACTTGCCTGATCAAGATACTGATGGAATGCCATAGGAGAAATCAAAGCGATGTCCCGTGTCCATTCTGTCGACAGCAATTACGCTATGTTCGGGAGGTTCAGTTCAGCTTATCCGATCGGTTTATCCCAATCTGTCAGTATATCGATTTCCCGTAATTATTCCTTTTTTGTGTTATATTGTTATTCAAACCACACAGCACAATTCATGCAATGTATTACCCCAATTAATAATCCCAAAACAGTTTATTGTCAGGATACTTATCTTGAATTTTTTGTTACTGGTAAATTTGTCTGACATTATCATATATTTATATTTGACGAACACTTGAAGTTGTTTTGAAATCACGAATGTTTCCGAAAAGGCATTAGAATATTTGAAAATTTTTATTTCGAATTCATGAATGCTTGAAAAAATAGGTGAATTTAAAATTTGTTTGAAATTTATCAGTAAAAGTAAAAGTTTGCACGAATATTTGCAAACTGCTGCATGCTATAGATGCAGTTGATGACATTACCATTGTTGACGTTTTCAAAATTCTAAAAATTTATTCATTAGTGATATAGTTTTGTATAGATAAATAAATGTAAATCGTCTTATCTCATGTAGTAGCTGCTCTAATATTTGTTTTTTCAATACATATCCACTATATGACAGTTACCCATCACTTATTCTGCCGTGCTTTACATTTACCGATAACTTTTGAAAGTACATTTGTATGTTGTAAATGTGTATCAACTAATTTTGTAACTAATTTCAATAAATCTTCAATAAATCACTATTTTTTTCTTTTGTTTTAAAATGGACTTTAAAATGAGTTTTGTTTTTGTAAGTGAAGTTAGCAATTATTATTTAATATTGAAATTTGCAATAAGTACTGCTAAGAGGTGTCACATGTAGCTATATTTTTTGGATAACAGAATGAATGAAATTATTTTAGGCGAGGAACACTCATTAAATTTAATAATATACAATTGAAAACATTGATAATCTTCTTTTTCCCTCTCTTTAGAGAGTTTTATTTAGAAAGTGTGTATAATCGTAGTATCTCTAATTTCTCTTCCTTTCTCTCTTTCTTCGTAGTGTGAAATTATCAAGGAAATGATTAACGAAATAGCCAGCTTTTAAACAAAATTTTATTCAAGGAGCAAGTTGTTTCCAGGAAGCTAAATATTTGAAATACTTAAACATGCATAACAACATTAAGCATATTGAGCTGAATAGCCGAAAAATTCTGATAATATTTCGAAGATTGTGTAATGTAACGGAAATATTGTTTATAAACTGGTAAGATCAGCAATTCAACATATAGTTTAGATAGAGAAGTCTAGTAATCATCCTTTTCCTATCTACCCTTCATTTCGAAGGTGTATTTTTGTTGTATTCATAAAGGACGATCATTATTCATAATATTTTTAACTATTTTCATTACTTACCGACTAAAGAATATTATTAGCTTAAAAGCTAATACATATTGCGATATAATGATATCATTGATATGATAACGGTATTAGGTAATACATATTGAGATGTAATGATGCCATTGATATGATAACGGTGTTAAATGTGTACTGTTAAGTAGTTAAAATGTACTGCATATGACTGACTTATCAAGGGGTCATTGGTAGTCATAAATTTCATAGTTACTTAGCGGCCTAATTAAAAAACAATTATTTTAATATTGCATATTCATTGGTAGTAAGCCTTATGTTTCCATTACCACGAGATAAACGAAATGTTTTTGGTATATGTATGTAAATAGTTCTGCTATAAAGTATGATCAATTTTTTTCACAGAAAAGGATGCCCAAATGGAAGCCAAGCTTCGAAGATTCGTTTCACACAATGTTCAATGCGCAATACTTTCGGATTACGTTTCCTTTATCTATTCTTCAATATACCTTTTTTGTATCTGCAGGTAATCTATTTATAACTTACAATTCCACACCGATGATTATTTTTCTTGGCGTATAAATATTTGTTAAAAACAAGAAAATTGCGGGATTTGGGATTAAATTTAAATTGAGTTAAATTTACTTTTTAAAATTACTTACATTAAACTTACTTTTATTTTAAATGAGTTAAATTTAAATTAAATCAACCAATTGTACCGAACTTGTCTTAGTTTCAGCCGAATCATTTAATTTAGCCGAACTAAAATATGAAATTGGGTTTAATAAGTTATTGATTGTCTTTGTGGAAGCTCTTGTGGAACTAAGTATTTGTCCATCTAAATAAAGAAAACGAAGACAACAGGGCGATGTATTGATGCGTTTAAAAGTAATTACGCAATATTTGCAACGTTTATTTTTTTATTGCAGCGAGAGACACTTGTTGGTCAGTTAGAGACTAATCGACGAGATATCGAGCTAAGTTTCGATGAACTGGACATGTATGAGGAAACACAGGATGCTGGCTATGACAAGTAATCTTTCTTTTGTAATCCTCTTTTTATTTACTCCTTTTGATTTCCGTATTATAAAATTTTCATTCCAGAAACTACATAAGGGAATGTTAGATTATTTGCATTCATTTACATAACCAAATTTTCTATACTCATAATAATTCATGATAGATTTATGGAAAATATAGCAACGCGTCGACGTCTTGCCGCTGAAAAAGTTGCTCCCATAACAGCATCCGAGGGAGCAAAAAATGGATTACCATTTGGTGAAGGACTGCCAATATTATCCGGTGGGCCGCATTGTCAGCCTCCTCTTCGACCATCGTCCAATACCGCTGCGCATTCGTCAAATGTTTCATCTTCTTTCTTTATCAGGAGTCATTCAGGTACTTATTCTGATTTTTTTTGAAAAGATCATTCGCAATTTTCTGCAGACATTTTTTCCCCATTTGTTTCTTACAGCAAATTCAACAAACCATTCGGCTGCGTCATTCACCTCCATATCATCCTTAAAAGCAGATAACAGTGAGGGAATAAACAAAAACGCAACTGTAAGCGACATCATGTCGAATGACGCGAGTAATAGCGATGAGTAAGTTGTTTATTTTTATCCGAAATTATGTCGATCTTCATTTGACTATTTGTTTTTTGAGGGAAGTGAATAGCATGGTGACCACATACGAGGAAGATGTGCCATCTGAGGACGAACTGGAAGTTGGTGAAAAAAGCGTAGCACAAAAACGAACGAGAGCATTGGACAGTCCTCGATCACAAGCACTCAATAGATCGAGACATGAATCAGAGACACCAATGGGTACTTTTAGTATAGTAATTGTGAATACTTATGTATTCTGCATTTGTTGTTCTAACGGTTATTTTTTAGCATACAAAGTATCGATCGATAATTCAGTAGATAGCATCACTGAAAGCAATCAGAAAGAAGACTCTGTCAACAAAATGCAGTCGGAATGTTTAAATGATGATTTAGATGCTTGGCTTAATGATACCGAAGATACCGAGGATGCAAAGAAAGGCACAAGTATAGCTCTAGCGTCACCATTGTTATTTAAAATCGCAAATTACAAAAAAATAGTATTCATGTATTGTTAGCTATAGAAATTCATTTTTTCAGAAGTAGTATATAAAGAGTCAGATGAATCGTACCCAAATCCTTTGGTTGCTCCTATACCTGCTGATTCAGAAAGTGAAGATGAGATTGGACGTCATATTACCTCTATCACAACTGATCATCCTCGTGTAGGAAAAAACACATACGAATCTGTGAGCATTTTTTCAGAAAACTTTCATGTTTCGGTTTAGGTGTGGCACCTCTGCAACAGTTTTCCTGCTTCTGGGAGTTGATTGTCGGATTTTTAATTTCTCCTTTTTGAGCAGTTAGTATTTTTCTTTTTGATCCTTATTCAAATCCATTCCAGAAAGCAAGAACTGCTAACGGGATTGTCGACATGAAGCAAGAATCCGAAACGAAATCCTCTTCAACCAAAAAACATTCAAAAAGAACAAGCGACAAAGTTACCCGTAATAAAGGTAAACTCGACAACAGAAGTGATCGCAGAGGTACCGAGATATTAAGTGCCAGAGATTTTTTGGATAGCGAGCTTACTGTGGATCCGAACAGCTACGATCCATTATAATCCTCATGTACATAGCATGAAAGATATTGAACCCCACCTCTTTCACGCAATCTTTCACCATTATTGTAATAAGTAGATTTTCGAAAATTTTCTTATTGCCAACGACAAAAATTTCATCGTCATCCAGTGCTGTAAATAATAACAAACTACCTATGAAACGTGTCATAGGACATGGGTCATGCGAAAGATCCATAGAACTACCCCATTGATTTGCATCACTAAGCCTTGATTGTTCAACATCATTTATTGATAGTGCCTTATCGGCTTATTTGGAACTTCCATATATTCAAAAAAAACCCTGAAATAGGTCGATATGATCAATAAATGCTGTTGTACGGCTAAGGATATAACCTACTGTATCTTCTAACATTCAGTAAGAAAACTCTTCCTTCCATAGTTCATGTGAAATTTCACAGAGATGACTAATTTTATATCTCCTCGACACATAAAATAACTTTCCGCTTAACTTTATAATTTTCCGCTTGTTCATACAAGAAATTCCTGTATGGTATTTAATTTGGTTACTGGTTTTGCATTTATCTCAATTAATTATATATGGTTTATAATAATATTTTCTGATCAACAGTAAAGTTTGAAAATTTGAAAATGTTCAATACTGAGAGAAGAAAAATCACAATACTTGATCGTTAAATCGTTAACATTGACTTTGATAGCTGTTCCACCCAAGCTCCGGATTTCTTCCCTTACGTCTTCCTCAAATGGGAACACAGAATGGAAAAGTGATTTGACTAAGGAATAGCAGTATGAGGCACTTCTAGACGCTTTAAAAGGACAGACACGAGGGCTTTCATAGTAAGATGGGTTATCGGCCGCGAGGCCGACATTTGGGGTTTGGTAATCTTTGGAATTTCCATTCTATTAATTTATCAGAAATGCTGGTGATGATGTTTACATAAATTTAGTCGCAGAAGTATTTGTTTCTCAACGGTAGCCTCGTAGCGCGTAAATTGTCTGGAACCGATTAAACGATAAAGTTATATATTGTACATCTTTTATTTGAAATCTAGCGGTACGCTGAAAAAATGACGGATGTTTGGAAATCAAACGCCAGAAAATTCTGCGAGTTATGTAAGGTAAGTAATTCGAGTCTATTGCGGTTCTTAAAATAATGATGAGTGATTAAAAGTGGTTAGGAGTGATTACTTCGCAGTGATAAATAATAGTGCGATTAGAAAGAAAATGGATTCCGTGATGTCATTTCGAACGTTTTTTATTTTTATAATCAGATGATATTGTCTGTGTTATAACAGGAAGCTAAATCCTCGTACAAATGGAAGAACGAAGGTAGAAACTTTCTTCTGTTCAAGAGTTGTTTTATGCTATTGAAACAATCAAGATGAACAGCCTTCCATCTTGCAGGTATGGTTTGCGGACAATCGAGTTAGTATAGAGCATCATGAGGGAGGACAAAAGCACAAAGCTGCTATCCAAGCTAAATTACGAGAGCTTGGTAAACAATGCAAACAAAAAGAAAAAGAGGTTATATTACTTGACAGTTTACTTAAGTTGACTGCTTCATCCTTGTATTATCAAATCTCACATTTTCTGGAAAAAATATATTATATATTACAAAAATGAGGTGGTTGGGAGAGAAGTCAGTGTTGAAAAAGGATCAGGTTTTGTATGTTACAATTAGAATTCACCTTGAGTTCGTGAAATTTGATGGAACAATTGAACTTTGCAGCAAAGTGATCTACAAGCTACCTTAGCGATGATGGAATCCGCGGCGAGCAAAAGTATGAGAATTGCTGATTCATGCCCCTCGGGTTCGTAAACACTTATGTTTTATGCTGAAATCAGAAATTAAATTATTATGTGAATAATTATGAGGATAATGGTAATATATTTGATTAAAATCGCGGCAATTATATAAAATGATGTTTCAGCGGGAATAGTTGGTCCATCGCCGAAACCGAAAAAATACATGGATCCACGAGCACATGGTGCTTCGATCGCTGAAATGGCTCGTCAGATGGCGCAACGAAAGAAAGAGGTTGGTTACTTGTGGTAAGTACAAAGATTCGATTCGAGAATCCCATAAATTATGTTGCCTAGATTGGTTTAGTTATATACTTTATATTTTGATCATGGCTATTACGAAAATTTCTATTTTCAGCAGGAATTGGAGCAAAGGAAAACAGAACATAAATCAGAAAATGAGAAGTGTGATCCGGAAAGTGAAACTGTTTGGGTTGAAGCTAAGGCGGAGAATGGTGCTCTGTATTATTTTCATATGTACAGCGGGGGTATAGTTTATAGATCGACTTGTCATCATATAATTAAAATAGTTATATTTACTAACTTAAATTACTTACTGCTTATTTAATCACGTATATTACCGATTTGCATTTTACTTATTCATGTTCTTCACTTCACTTGCTAATGCATAATTTGCTTAATCACTTTGTTTGTTATTTTTTTAGTAACCGTTTGGGAGAAACCCCAAAATTACTACACAGCAGAACAGTACACCATGAAACTAGCTGTGACGGGGAATAACAGTGATACAATGGCTAAAAATCAAGTTACTGAACCAATTAAATTAAAATCGGGTATGTTTGGTTCATATTTAAGGGAGTTGTGAAATGTCTCTAATATTTTTTAAATACGGTTTGAATTGATAATTTTTGTTCTAGTCTTACGAATTTCGGGGTCAAGCTGATTTAACGTATTGCTGACGAATTTATGTCCTTGACAATTAGTAATTGTCACGAGTCATTCTAATTAATTTCTTTGTCAAATAATTTCCAAGTTACCTTTGTTAATTAATTTGCAACAACTCTGTCTTCTTACTATTCGCAGAATTCTCCTGTTTCATTCAAAGGTGATTATAAGGGATTCAAGAACATCAATTCACACATGAATTAGTTTGCAATTCTGAAAAACAGAAAAACAAGGAGCAGAATTACTTCTGCATCTTGTTTTTCTGTTTTTCTGGGATTTTCTGTTTTTTTGCGTTTTGTTATTAGGGACAACAGGAAATGTCACGAATTAATAAGATATTGAAGGTTCTGCAAAGCCTTTCACATAATAAGATAGAACTAAAAAACAATTCCAGAAAAAGCTGAAGAAGTTTCGTTGAGTAAATCATTATCGAAACATGTGACCTCCTATAGGTTATTGTTTTATGTACTTATTTCAAGCGTAAGTGTATATTTGTTTTGCTGGATCTCTCCTTCAGATATGCAAGACCCTAGTACATGTGAATCAACCGCTATAAATGAGGCGCGAGGGAATTCGTCTGAAGAGTCACAAATAATCATGAAGTTTGATCCCGAAATGGACGCTACAAATTTCGATGTCAATGAATGTGATATTCCTTTACCTCCACCTCTTGAGGTTCAGTTTTTAGGGAATATTTTCACATGTGAACTATACATAGTTGTATTACAATTTTTGCATCACTTTACATATCCCTTTTTGCTTTTTACTTGCCATCGGTGAAGCCGATCATTTTTCAAAGCTTTGTATTTGATCCCAGTAGTGAGAAAGTTGGTAAAAATTGTCATAAATGATTTGTGAATTGCATTTATTTCGATATCTCGTTGTAACTATTCAATCAGCATAAATTTTTTTCCAGAATTCAAAGCAAGAGAAACTGACATTGAACTTGGCGATGAAAGAAGAGCAGTTAGAAGAGAGCAATTGTAATCGAATTATTCAGGATGACTATTTCAATGCCAGTGGAGAGAATATTGATGTCAAAAATGAAACGGGGGAAAGAGTTAATGCTGTAAAGCAAAAGGAGTCACTGCGATCCGGTCCATACGGGCCATGGGTACCAGTAGAGAATGTTCCTGAAAAACCGAAAGTGTCAGCTTTTTTGGGGTTTTCATAATGATTTTCGAAGTGCCGATAAAATATAATGTTTCGACACCGAAATTTAGTCTTGGTTGGAAAATAATTATTGATTCAGAGTTTATCATAACGAGAGGTTTGCATATGATAAGACGGTCAAAACTTTTTTCGTTTCAAAAGGATCAACTACACCATTTATTGATAAATTGATAAGGCTCATATTAGATGGATTATTTTTCAGAGACTGGGAAATATCTACTGAAGAGCAAAGGCGAAAACGAGCTAGTGAATCGTTGGCACCAGAAGACCTCATTACATTTGGTGATAAGAGTGCAGCGATAAAACGAAAGAACATAAATGGACCGATTGAATTTAGGAAAAGGAAAACAACGATTAAGACTAGACAACCTATTGACGATCAATAATAGCAATCAAATTTGAACATCACATATTCCCTGTGTGTATGTTTCCTCCTGTGTCATAATCATGACTGCACAAGATTCATGACTGATTGTTCGATTTTATTATGTTGTAAGTATTTCCCGAAGAGCCTACCTTATAAGAACACCAGTGGCAGCTGTTAATCCATATGATCTAACTTGTGTATAGTGTCATTTATTTGTTTTCCTGAACTATTTCAACCTGTGTTGTTATTGCTGATGCTATGCGAAGAATATGTACACTCCTGACTGAGCGCCATCTCTTTCCTTGTGTTATTCAGTAGGCAGTTCAGATATTGACTGATTCACAGAAGAAGACAACAAAATGAACACCCATGTTATCATGTCAGATAACATATTGGTTGGTTGCATCATGTACCAATCTTCGGTTCGTCAATTTATTTACTGATGAGTGATGAAGTTTGTGTGATGTTACGTTTGTTCTTTTCCTAATTTAATCATTGGTATGGTTTGAAATATTTTTAAGAGAAGAATTAATAACTGTTGTCAGCAGCGTATTTTGCATTATTCATTTTCACCCAAGCTTTTCTAACCATCCCTGCTGTATCACTGGAATTCTCCTTCAATCCTTTCCCCGGACCGGTATTTTGATATATTTTTTCCCCTTACCTTCACCTCTCAACCTGCGTGTGATTAAATATAAAGACTAAAGAAAAATATGTTTAAATATATACGTAGAAACACACAGAATTGACGTATAGGCATGCATTTGATCAACAAACGAAATGCATAACACACGACTGACATGCTAACATATTCATACATAACACTATTGATGTACTTAGAGAAAGTAAAGTACAATGGCAAAACTAACATGGTCGTTTCATTTTCGATGTTTTCCCATATTATGTTCTATTTCATGTTTTGGCAGGGGTATGTATCAGTTCGGTTGTCATTCATGTTTATTTGGTAGTGCATGTTTATAGATGTTAATTTTTATAAATTATATAACTATTCAATAATATGCACCTAATTTCTTCAATGTTTGATATGAGAAAGAAGGAAGGAAGTACTGAATAAAATAGGATGAAAAGCATTAAAGGAAAGAAAAGAGAGGAAAAAATAGAAAAGTACCTAAATGAAGCAAGATGAGAAAGAATTCTGGAATAACAGATATCGGCGAAGAGATACAGTATCAAATGTATCTTCATTTTTTCCAAAAATTTTCCTAATATATATTTTTAATCACATTTGAATAATTTAATAACTTGCTCTATTAATCTATTTAGAGAGTAATAAGTCAAAATTTTACAACGAAATTGCTAACACTTCAAATATGTCATCAATTATATACGATATCAACTTTATCAATTACTGCTTAGGATAAGATTTTCATCTGTCTGGTCTAATCTCACGATATTCTCGATTACAGATATCCCAGATTCATATCATTTTAAGAGATCTTGACGGGTAACATTTCATATAAAATGAAATAATAATTCGGAAAGTAGTAATAACCATTAAAAGCTTAATGTCTAATGAGTTGTTAAAAGATTAACAAAAGAATTAGATATTAAGCTTTTCATTAGATATTAAGCTTTCAATGGTTATTACTACTTTCCTCTATGTGAAATAATACTCCTATTTACGAAAGAATAAACTAAACGTTAATTCTATGTCGCGTAACCATGGACAACATCGTTTCTATATCGTTCCACTCTGATGGTAACATTCCATATGTCCTTTTCATGCATTATTCTAACTTTTTATTAAAGAATGTACAATTAATAAAATTATTCAATGGAAAAAGATAATGACTGTTTGATAATCTAACTATTATCACTTCCTACAATCTAACTATTATCACTTCATGCATTTAGGTATCCATCCAATTAGATATAAATTGAGAAAATAATATTAAACTTAGGGTATACAATGAATAAAATTTATATCACGCTATGTTTATGCTTCCAGTTTAGTATAATGTTTTCTATTTTCACTCTTCACATACTTTCTAAATATAAAACTTAAGCGTTATAGAGACGGATAACATCTCTATCACTGCATATATGTTGAAAATATAAGGAAAGAAGCATAAAAATATGCGCGCTCTTCCCCCGGGATTTCCCAAATTATGAACGAAAAGGGAGGTATTTCCCGGTCGGCCCACCGCTGTAGTAACATTTTCATGAATGTTTATGGTTGGATGGACGTATCTTTTCTTCTTCCACGTATCTTTTATGCATTATGTGGTTTTGTAAGGTTTAATGTTACTTGTTTTATATGAACATTTCGATTATAACGATTTTGTGAATCGAAATTAACGTGGCGTTTTTAGCCATCTCATAAGGGCGGTACTTACCTGTAACTACGTCAGCTTATTTTTCGCTTCAAAGGAAAGTGTATTGCTTGGTTAAAAAGTATGGGTTGTTTGTTTGATGACTAGTCACATTATATGAGTGATACCTGCATGTAGTTTTTGCATAGTTTTTTTTTGTATGGAAATATATTAAATAGTTTTTGTGATATTATGACTTTTTACTTTTATTGGTATTGTATGAAGCATACATTTGAGTCATGACAGGTATCACATGTTTACTTAGGGTCGTTGAATTGTTTGCCTTCTGCGGTTGTTTATTTTCACTGCGTAATGAAATGTTAATGGGAAAGTTCAACTGGTAGTGCCTGAAGTTCATCATACAAGAAACTAAGGATGATTTAGTAAGTTTCGTAGCATGAATATTTTGCGGAACTATTTGTGTCTTGAACTAGAAGGTATTTGGATCACATTTATCCTCATCTGTACCTTTCCTAACATTATTCTGCAATATATGACAAAGTCTGTGTAATAATCAGTAGGATAGTAGAATATTAGTTATCAATAGATTATGCGGTCTCTAGAGCTTTTCTCTGGATAAAATCCACGAGATTTGTTATTTATCATTGTAGGGATGTAGTATGAAGTAATCTTATCGATATTTCAGGTATATTTCGACTTGAATGTATAATCCGGTTTGGTAGTGTGACTAGACGCTGTTTATTTGGTGGTGTAATGGCCTTCCTCAAACGACGTGGATATAAATTTCATGTCGACTTAGAACTTTTACATTTAAGTGATGTACCACTGGTTAATGCCGTCCTTTTTGCTAAGGTATCATATTGATTAAATGTGAGTTGGGTTGGAAAGTTGTAACCCTATATGGACAAAATCTGTTTAAACATTTAGGACTTTATGGCATATATACTGTTTTTACAGGTTCGATTATTGAATGGTGGTGCATTTGAAGGTGTAACGGAACGTGTTCAAGTACTTAATCATTCAGCTAATTGGAATAGTCATTTCAATTTCTCATGTCGAATTGCGCCGGATCCTTTGACAGGTGTCCTTGAAAGATGTGCATGCAGAATTTCTCTTCGTAAAGTAAGTTTTGTATATTGTATGATAAATGACGAATTAAATCATTTGTTATTTGAACAAAAATACGGTGCATAAGGTATAGGAAATAAGAATTACTCTTAAGATATAAGCGTAAGTGTTTACAGTGTCTTGGTCTTCTTAGTCTTTTAACAAAAAATCACGACACTAACCGTCAAGTTACTCGCTGTTTAGTTTATTGTCGGTTGTTTTGCAAGCTGATTGTTCCAGCAGTCATTTGTGGGCATGTTGGTATTAAGAGTTTTAATTACAACCATTGTTATGCATCGAGATTTCTGCAACACTGTCTGTTTTAGGAGCAAAAGGGTGGCAAATCATATTTGAAACTTGGCTTCGTTGACATTAACTTGTCACAGTTTGCTGCATCAGGTGTTGAAGGGATTACTCGTTCATATCTACTAGATGGTTATGGTGTAAATCAACGTCAGGATAATTCAAGAATTCTGATTAAAGTTACTATGAGTCACCAAAGTGCGGATCCAATTTTTAAAGTGTAAGTTCACGAATTGTTGCTGAAGCAGTTTCGGTTAACATCTATAAATAAGTGAGGACAAATTATGGATTTTAAAATATTCTATCAAAGGTAAACACTAATTCATATGTGCGATTGATTATTTAGTGATGAAGGTAGGTTCTTAGAAGTGGTGTAAAGAATGGTTCTCAGAAGCGGTGCATGCTATAATTTGCTTGATTCGAATGAAAAGTAAAAACCTAATATGTGAAAAAAAGAAGTATGACACTTCCATGTTGCAAAAATCTCTACTTCAGACATAAATCTCTTTTTGAGACATAAATCTCCATTTCAGTTTACATTTACGCTTCTCTTTTGCAGACCACGAAATGAGTCGCTATCAGAAGAGTTAATCTTGAACCCGATGGATAGGAAAGCACCATCAAACGATGGCTATCTTTCCCAGAGAAAGGGAGATACTGATTCTGCTAATTCATCATCCGTAGAAGATGTGTCCCAATGTCATGGTACTGTATTTTATTTTGATTATATCAATTTCAAGATGATTTAATGCTGACATGATCGTTTACATATACATGAATGGCATAATTGTCGATACATGCTGTTTAATGCCTTGCTAACTATTTTATTAGTTTTAATAAGATCAAATATCCAAATCAGATCTTTATTCTCATAAAATTTTGTTTATATGCGAAAGAAAAGATTTATATTGCAGATGACAGTTCTTTGGCAATTGCAGCAACATCTGCTGGTATTTGCCTTGACCACTATGAAGTGGAAAATTCATTCAAAAATAACAGTCTTAAGAAATCGGATGTAGTTCGACGGAATATTAGTACAGCTTTGGCGCAGTCTAGGAGGTTAAGTCAAGACAGGTAGGCTAAAAATATGCACGAAATTAAAGAAAGAGAGGTATACGGGATAACATGATGTTTACTAACTTTTGGCGATATTTTATCTGGTATACTTCAAAAGAATCATCGAATTCCTGTTTGGTTGAAGAATTCTGTTACAGATCTCAGATGGCTAAAAATAATGAATGCGTAAATGAAACAGCTACAAGGATACGTGCTACACGTGTGGATGCGGAGGACTTGATTGATCGGATGTTACAAG